TTCATTCACTCTGTACAGAAATGTCAAAAGAATACATACAGTGTACCCACCTTCTGCAATGTTAGCATTTGCATATGACCAATTACAGGACCCAGTAATCTTAATTATAGCTCAGTAAAATAATTTTTAAAAAGCAAAAAAATAAATTAATTAATACTTAAGAAAATACATTTGATTTACATGGTAGTTGTATTTTTCAAATATCTGCTTCCTGTTGATGTTTCTGAAGTAATTTCTAAAGCAGTTGCCTCTTTAAAAATCATTTCCAATTATTCTTTTTTTTTTCCCCCCAAATTACATCACTCAGCAGCTCTATTGGACCCAGCATGGCAGGGGTTTTCATATCCCATAATGCCAAGACCAAAAAAACCAAACACGTTTCGGAGCAAGAATAAGTGTCCAGAGTGACCCAAACAGGAAGACCTGTGTCTTCCTTCCCTCCATGCCCCCAAAGATCTAAATTTAGTGCACTCGATAGACTGCAGTGGCGTTAACATGTTGCAAGAACAAGAACCAAGCAAAAGAGAAAAACAGAAGCTTAATGTGGCGTGAGGTATTTTAATGCCATGGTAACTCCCATGCCTCCTCTATTATTTCCTCTGCTTCCTCAGGTCAGGACATTCTCCCCTCTCTCTCCTGCACTCCCTATTGTAATCAAATCAGGTCACCCCGGACTCCTGAGGGCACGTCGGTTTGCAGCAGAATGCATTTTCTCCACTTCCTCCTTTGCTCCCGGACCTTTATTTGGCGGCGCTGACAGCCCAGGTTGCCCTTCGCAGTGCTCCACATACTGCAGGCCTCCCTTTCATCCGCTTCTCACCCACGGCTCCCCGCTGCTCCCTGCCCGGCCCCTTCCTCCAGCTTCTGCCGTTGTCACCAACACGGCCATTTGATTTGTGACTCAGTGCTTCAGAATCCAAGCTCCTTGGTTCTCCTGAAGGCCCAGGCCTCTCTTCCTAGAGCAAGAGTAAGATCCCTTCCGGTGCCCAGACCTCAGCACCGGAAGTCGAGGTGACTCTGGACCTCGAATACTACCCCTTCGCCCTCCCTTTTTCTGTGCGTGTCCCTGGGGCTCTCCCTGCCCCACTTAGCTTTTCCCCAGGAATGGTGTGCAGACAAGGTTTGTGCCTAGAATGTTTGTAGCCCAAGCTCCTCACTTCCAGATGGGAAAAGTGAGGTCCAGAGAGGTTCACTGCCCAGGTGCATGGCTAATTCTTGGAGAAACCAAAAGGAATAGGTTATAAACTCATCACATTGGTGAATTTGGTGGGACAAAATCTTGTTAAGGTGTGAGCAGTGCCAAAGTGGGCTTTGGTGATTGTTTGAGTTCCTTCACTCATTCTGCCCTTGTCTTTGGCCATCAGCGTAAACAAACAAAGCAGAACGGAGACACCAGCCATGAAGTCCATGGGACCCGTGGAGGGGCACCTGCCTCCCAGAGGCATGGAGACCCCGAAAGCAGCCTGAGCCTCTCCAGCTGCACCAGGACCCGCTGGGCAGGATGAGGGGCCCGCCTGAGCTCCATATCCACGACGCTTTTCCCCGCTTGCCAATGCGATAGTAATGAATTCACAGAATCGTTTCCCAGGTGTAGGAAGGTGTGTAAAACACACAATGCCTATACAAATATACTTATCGCAAACAAAATTACATCAGTCTTCTATGTAAGCCCCAGGCTTCTCTGGGGAACGACAGAGGTGGTCAGTATGAATGGAAGAACTCAATACCTTGACTGCTTGCACCAGAGGAAGAGGCGCTTAGGTTTGTACATGTGCCTGAAGAGAGGAATACAGCCTTGGATGCAAAGGAAGCAAACCATGGCAGTTTAGAAAAGCCATTCCTGGGTGTGAATGTGGAAGTCCTGCCTGCGGCCTGACTACGGGTTGTCCTGGGCGGTCACCCTCCCAGGGAGGCGACTGCCGGCCCATCGATCTGCTGCGTGAGTGAAGAGGACCTGAGCCGCGAGACCGAGGCCGCTGCAGCCGCCCACGGTGATTAAGAGCTTTATTGATTTTCTAGCCCATGACCACGGTGGTGGGGACAGAGTACGACAGAGGAGAATGGCGGGGAGCCAAGTGGAAAGGGTTTATGAAATGAGCTCTCAGTGAAGAAAACTGTGGGAAAGAATGCAACGGACACAGCGGTGGGGCCATCAGAGGTGGAAAAGCCGACCGTGTGAAGCCACAGCGAAGCGCGCTGCCCACACCCAGGCGGCAGGACTCAGCGCGGTGCCGAAGACGCAGAAGATTCCTCTCGCAACATACCCACGGACGGGCTTCACCTCCACTCTGTTCCAGGCGCTGTGCAGGCGCGGGGGCTTTAAATGAGAATCAGTCCGTCTAGAGAAAGGGATTGAAAACATACCCAAAATGATGTGCAAAAAATGCAAATGTATCTTAAGGGAGTCCTAAAAACACTTGCCTTACATTGGGGCCCAGAGCCAGCGGGACTGAACGGTGGCCCAGGAGGGGCAGGCCTGTGCCTTGGCTGCTGCCTGCCTGCCTCGGGTGCAGCTCTGATGGAGGTTCCCAGGGTGCCTTCAGGGCCTCAGTCCCCATCCTGGAGGAAGACCCTGGGGGCTTCCCACCCCAGCCCCTTACAGGTCCAGGCGAGGCCTGCTCCGGTGGCGCAGGCGTGTGCAGGGTTCCTGATGCTGGCGAGGTGGCAGGTGGAAAGGAAGCCCTCGCGCTGCGAGGGCGGGGAATCCCCACGGCGCCGCCGGGATGGCTGGACATCTCCTCTGAACCCAAAGATGGGAGCAGGGTCTGCGCGTGATTCCTGCCCTGTCCCCACACACCGCCCCCCCATGAACTTGACTCTCTGTGGTTCACTGGTGCTTCTGAGGGGAGATTTCTTCCAACTACCTTGCCCCAGCCTCAGCGCCCTTTCAGTACAGGGGTACGTTATTTTTGCTTTCTTTTAGCTTTCAAAGAATTCCTCTCCCCTCCCCCAATAAACCGGAAACTGAGGAAGAAGGTGAGTAGCTGGTATGTTTTTGTGTATCAGTGTAACAGCAATGGTAGATGATATGTTTAATAGGAAAAAATAAGAAAAAAAATGTCATGTAACTTAAAACCAGTGAGTGATCAAGGTTAGTACATGATGGCTTTAAAAAAAAAAAAGTGAAATAAATCCTCTTTCTGTGGTTCAGAGTTGAAATGATGCGACCTGCGGGGCCCTTCTGCCTTCCACTGCAGGAACAGCTCCCCTAGGTAGCTCGGCGCCCAGGCGTCTGCGCTGCAGGACTTCAGAGAGGTGCAGCTTAAGCCAGGAGACTTCAGAGAGGTGCAGGCTGAGCCGGAGGCCCTCGGAGTCCTCCAGCCTCACTGCGGGACCTCTACGTGGCACAGGCTCAGCCGAAGGGGCCTTATCCCAGGGCAGCCCGAGCCTCTCATCCCCTGGGGGATGAATTCGAGCTGGCACGGGCCGGGGGCGGGGGGCGGGGGGGGCGGCGCGAAAGGCCCCGAGCCCACGTCTCCTCGCGGCTCGTACTGGGCCCGCTCTGTCTTTCTGAAACAGTCAAAAGGGGCTGAGATTCCTGGCCGCATGTGGAACAAATGTCCCTAACACTGTTCTCTTTTTCGCAGAGGAAAACTGAATTTAAGAAGAAACTCCTAATACTCTATAAAAATACCTGGCATTTAGGCACAGAGCCAAAAAGCGAGGCGCGGCTGGTCTCCCGAGCTCTGGAAGTACAGTGCTCTGAAGTCTCCCAAGCCGCGTGCGTTCGCTGTTAAGCAAACAGATGAAACAACTTTCATTGCTCTCCCCTCCCACCCCCCCACACCCCCCCCCCCCCCCGCTCCCCGGTGCAGTAACTGTTCTTGGCAGATGCCCAGAGCGGCACCCGGTAATCCCACGGCACACTGTGTACATTTGCATCTATTTAACCAGCTATTTACAGCCGCCCTTTATGCCACCTGTAAAGAGACAACGCCGCAATGAAGCTAAGTGGCTGGGCCGGGAACCGGGTGCCCCGTGATTTTTTCCACTTGCAGAGCCCGCATTTGTGGAGTGGTTGGCACTTGGAGAAACAGGGGGACAGCTGGGGACATCGCCCGTCCAGGGCGAGGCGCGCGCCAGACGGAGGGTCCTTCCTCGCCAGCTCCTTCTCCACGACCCCACTGCGAGGAGGGACCAGCGTGCCCTCCGTGCGGCCAGTTTCCTGCCCGATACAGAGCCCGCGACAGTTCGGGCTTGCCGGGTTTTTGAACCACTGAGACGCCTGGCGGTCCCGAGCCAGGCGGGGACGAAGCACGCTGGGGTGGGAGCCACGGTCCGGCGGAATCGGGGCCGGGTGTCACCTCCTGGAGCCTGGGAAACCTGCTCTCTGATTTGATGCGGCAATACGGGGACACCTGCGCTCCCGTGCGTGCCGCACTTGTGCAGCTCCGGGTGGCAAACGGGGTGAAGTGGCGACGTGGGCGAGAGGAAGCCGTGGCGCGGGAGCGTCAGAAACGCTGCCCTGGCGTTCCTCGCTCCTTGGAGGCTGTTGGGGGGCGGGGCTGGCCGGCACCAGGACAAACGGTTCCCAGTGCCCCCGCCGCAGCTGGAGGTCGGGAGCGCGGAGACCCCCGAGGGCGGGTACCCGGTGGTCCCAAGTGCCCGCGAGACCCCCTCGACGCCCAGGACCGCGCAGCGACCTCGGAGCGCACAGAGACCCCGAGAAGCCAAGAGGAAAACCTGATGGGCCGGAGGGCTGGTTGGCTGGGGTACAGAGGCAGCGCGGACCCGGAGCGCCTTTCGTTTTAAGGAGCCTTACTTCTGGGAAGGGACAGGGAACTGTCAATCAGCGCGGGAGGGAGCGCACCGGCGCCGGGTGATGTCAGCGGATCAGCTGCTCGCTAACAAAGAGGGGTTATTACAGGAGAAAGTTGCGGCGGCGGCGGCCACGGCGGCACCCCGGGGCCTCGGAGGCGAGGGGCAAGTGGGCGAAGGGAGGAGGGACGGCTGCGGCAGCAGCAGCTGAAGGCCAAGAAATTGAAAGGGCTGTAGGGGGAGGCAGTGCGAGCCAGCCCCGACTGCTCCTCCTCTTCCTCCTCCTCCTCCAAACTCGCAGGGTTCAGCCCCAGCGCTCGCCCAGCCGCCGGAGCACCCGGAGGGACGGGAGGCAGCCGCGCGGCCCCGAGCTGGGCAGGGTCCCCGGCCGCCATGGATAGCGACGACGAGATGGTGGAGGAGGCGGTGGAAGGTACGAGCGTTTCTCTGGGGCCGGGGGAGGAGGCACCGAGGGCTCGGAACGCGGAAGGAGTGGCAGGCGGTGACCGGCGCGGCGCCGGGCCCCACGGCCGCCACTGTCCCCTACGTGGGTGGCCCGCTGCCCGGCGCAGGCACGGGCCGGACAGCCAGCGCCACGCCGCCGGGAGCGCGCGCTGCGCGGCGGGGCGCAGGCCGGGAACCGGGTGCCTCCGGGCCGGGGCTCCGGGGAGGGCACGGCTGCTCCATCCCTCCGGCCACAGCCTGCATCCCGTCCTCGGAGTTGTGAACCTCGCTCCGCGCTCCGGCCTTGCTCCTCCCGGGAATGGAAGGTGGGGGTGCGCAAGAGGATAGCCCCCTGAGACCCGCGGTCTCGGCGGAGCAATGCCCGCGCCGGGTTAGGCAACCCCGAGCCCCGCTCCAGACGCCAGCCCTTTCCTTCGGTTCGCCGCTGGGACTCGCGGTGACCGCGACCGCGTCCGGGTGGGTCCCCCGGCGCAGCGCACGGGGCCGAACCTGGCACGTGGCAGCCGCGTCCTGGGCGGCCGCTCTTCCGAAAAGATGAAATCATCGCGAGGCAAGGGACAGCGCGCCCGGCCCGGGGCTGGAGCGCGCGCCGGCCAGGAGGCGGTGGCCCTCCCCTGATGTCCCCGAGCGAACTCAGCCGCACCGCCCCCTCCCCCTCCGGCAGCCGAGCCGGTGCCGCCGCCGCCGCCACGCTGTGCGGGCGCGCCGCGAGCCCGGACCGAAATTGCTGGGTGACACCTAACTTTCTGAATTCCATGCAGTTGGCTGTGGGTGATATCACCGCCTCGGTGTCGTATTTCTCCGCCCCTTCTTTTCTAGCGCCCCTCCCCCCCGACTTTTCTCGCCACTTTGTTTTGCCGAGTTTCTCCACCTCTTTTTTTTTTTTTTTAAAGCTAGTTCTAAAAACCGAGGTGGGGACGTTATACAATCACGTTGTTTGTATCATGAGATGTTATGATTTTGTAACGATGAATACTGGAAAATACACTTTGGTGTATTTATTTATTTGATTATACCCAGCCTGTACGTCGTGATTTTTGCAATGTTGTGTGGTATTATTCCAGAATATTTACTTTTATTTTTTATAATTTTAATTCATACTATTGTGATATATTTATTTGTAAAAGCTTAAAACCCAGAGTAGTTTAAACTAAGCATCTAAGTACGTAATTTTTAGCTGTGGGTTGAGTCTGGTTCCTAGCTCATTTGTAGAAATAAGTTCTCATAAATGGTAAAGAAAAACAAAGTGGCCACACCGCACACATGCATAAAGATACGTAGTTATGGCTGCATTGGGAGAAATCCATTTTTGTTTTCATAAAACGTCATTGACTCCTTTTGCAGTGCTCGTGGGGTCTTAGGATGACTTAAGTAGAAGAGTATTTCTGAATTCTCTAAAAGGTATCCGTTAATGTAACTATTAAAACATAGTTCTTTACCAGCTTCAAAGAGTGTTTGTTGTTGTTTTAATGTGTCAGTGTTGTAAACTCACAGAACTACTTATCTCTCTAAGTGAAGCCTGCGAATCGGGGCTCACCGGCGCCCAAAGACACTGAGTCCGCCCATGGGAAGCCTTCTTACAATTTAAGTTATTAACTTCTAGTGCGTTCATGTTATGAAAGATAAATGAAAAAAAAAAGCTCTTCTCAAATTGTCAGGGCTTGCTCTCATTCTTCAAAGTTCACTTTTACTTGTGCTTGTGAAATTTTAACGCCAACCCTTGACCATGGAAAGCGCTCTTCAGATTAAATACTTTCTCCTTTGAAGCTGTCTAGAAATACAAGCCCATGGTCCCCAGGCTCCTTGCAGAATGTGAACAAGCAACTTGAGAAATGTATCCGTGTTGTTTTTTAGCTTGTTCAAGTCACAGAAACAAAGTTCTTTATATAAACAAGGAAGGTTCTGTTTTATAGGGTGACCGTGTAGGTTATTGTCCAAAAATCAGACCATGCTTGAGGGTGACAGGGGTCACTACTAATACTTAACACCGGTAAAACGAAAACAAACTCATAGATACAGAGAACAGATCCGTGGGTACGAGGGGGAGCGGGGTGGGGTGGGAGAAAGGGAGAAAAGGAGCCAACTGAATGGTGGTGGAAAGCCCTTGGACTTTTGCAGGTGAGCATTTTCCAGTGCATGCAGGTGAATTATAATGTTGTACACCTGAAACTTTTATATGTATATACTTAGGCTGGGACAATTTAGGCTTAAGTCTTAAACGTTTGGGGCAATCCAGGACACATGATCACTCAGTTGTACCTAATAGTAGACAATTACAGTAACAGAGACTCTTTAAAAGTCATTTGAGACATCTAAGGCTCAAAGTTGCACCGCGTCTAGAGTATGAGAGTGTACGTGCAGGAAACCGCACCAGCAGACTTTTCTCCAGCCGTTCTTGGCCTTTTAGTGGCATCTGTAACAGTCTTTCCTTAGCATCAGGCACATGCGGGGAGGCTGGTATAAAGCTAGTCTGAATGTCTTGGTGTTCAAGCACCAACTAACCTCCGTCTCTTCATCAACAAAGCCTCTGTTCTCAGTAGTTTCCTTGTATTAGCTGTTGTTATTGCTATAATTGTGTGGTTCTTAGTCTGTGCAGGCTCTGTGCTGAGTGTCTCATACACACGTGATCCATTCAGTCTTACAGGGTGGGTGTTGATATTATCCGAATTTTTCCGAGGAGGAAACTGAAGCATAGGAAGGTTGAGAACTAAGCCCAGCACCCACTCAGTGGAGTGGGAGACAGGTTTGACCCTCCAGAGCCCCGCTCCACCGTACCCAACCCTCTCTCTACATTTTTCTTATTGTTGACTTTTAACAAGTCATCACATGTATGGAACACTTGGGACGTGGGGCTGGAAGCAACAGTTAAATATTACGTCACTATTCCTCTTTATCAGTGGCAACTGTTTAGAAGTCGATTCTGATGGAGTTCAGTGACATTCAGAAAAAATGTGGGGCAAGAGAATTTAACTTACAGCCTCTGCAACAGACTTCCTTTCCCTTCCTCCTAAGAAAATTGCTCTGGGGAACAAACTGGTCTGTTCAGGACTTGAAATGTCCTTTGCCACATCGTATACATTTTGGTTCTCTGTCCTGGCAGAGCTGGGTCTCCAGTGAAGTTCTGAGCTCTGAGTGGATGAGTCCCTGAGGACAGCTGGGTGGCGGTAGCATGTCTGTGTACCAGACCAGCTGTGTTCCTCTGGGACAGGAGCCAGCCCTGCCCCTCAGAGGCCCAAGGCCTCCACCCGAGCTCTGCAATGGGTTTTTAAAAACTCTGAGGCTCATTGGTTCAATGGGAAGTGAGGTTGAGCTTTGGAAACAGAAGTTCTATTACTAACTCTCCATGTCTTTGTCAGCCAACAGATAAAAGGATAAATACAATGTGGTTCCTAATATAATCTCAAATAAATATATCCTATGTAAGCAGATGAATTAGGGCGGTTGAGAGGAAGTAAACATCAGTTCTGGGTTGGGGGAGGAGGTGGGGAAAGAGCTCCCAGAGGAGGTGGTAGGGAGTTGAGTCCCGTTGAGTGGGGAACCTTGTGAGTAAAGACAGAGAGAGTGGACTTACACAGTCACGTGCAGAGATGAACCACCTGGTTCTGCTCTGACCGAGGGCCCAGGATGAAGGTGGAGGGGCACACAGGAAAAAGTGGCTGTGTCAGAGGCCGCAGGCACAGACTGGACTGGAAGCCACGGGCAGCCATGGGACTCTTTAGAGCTGGGAATGATAGGACCAGAGCTCTGCTCTGGGCAGATGACAAGGCAATGGTGAGCAGGCGAGGCCATCACCTACAAGGCTCTTTGCAATAGTCCGACATGCACTTAAGAGGGTGGGAAAAAAAATGGAAAAGGCCTGAAAATACACAGGAGACAAAAAGGGGGAGAACAGAATCCCCAGAACTAAGCAGCCAGAATGAAAACAAGCATCTCAGCATTACACTGCCCCAAGCCCCTGAAAATATTAAGAGCATTTTTATCTGTCTACCTAATATCTTATCCTGCCTGTCTCTCATCAGCCTGCTCCTGCTCCATACTTAGGGAAAATGCGGGCGCAGTGTACCGACCTCTCCTTGTGGCCACACCTTAAAATTATGACCGTCACCATTAATAATTGAGCTCTGGTAAAGAATTACTCTCAAACCCTGGATGGTGTGACTCAGTGGATTGAGTGCCTGCCAGCCCACCAAAGGGTGGCCTATTCGATTCCCATTCAAGGCACATGCCTGGGTTGCAGGTCAGCTCCCCAGTAGGGGGCGCTCCAGAGGCGACCACACACTGATGTTTCCCTCTTTCTCCCTCCCCTCCCCTCTCTAAAAATAAATAAAATCGTTTTTAAAAATCAAATTATGTTTTTAACAACTAGTGTAAATGCATCACCACGAGGGTATGTTCTTTGCACTAAACATAAAAAGCTTGCCTTTTATTGTTGTTGTTACTTTTTTTTTTTTCCTTAAGACCAGTTCTAGTTTACAAAACCAACAATGCACGTTAAGAGTCTTTTGTTCTAAGGGAACACACACATGCCCCCGCCCACTCTGCCGAGAGTGGGCCTGAGGCCGGAAGCCGGCCGCCTCCGGTGTACCGCAGGGCCGCTGCGCAGGGTACAGACAGGCCCGGCTTTCATCAGGTTAAGGAAAAAGCTCAGAGGTAACTCCAAGGGAAAAGTTTCACTTTCTATCCATTCAGGAGAAAGTAACCTTCAAAACAAAGTGGACAAGTAGACCGTGAAGCTGTTACATTTTCTCCCCTTTCTCTAACTTTTATAAATATTTAAAACCGTGCTGCAAACAGCACAAGGAGCTGGGACAGAGTTATCAACACGGAGCAATCGTGGCACGAGTCTCCCTTGTGGGTTGGCCGCGTGCTTATCCTCCCTTTAGTGGGAACTGGCCTGAGAGGCGGTTGGCTGACTTGGCGCATTTCATGAAACGACTTTCGCTCAGAGCAGGAAGGACTAGTATTTCTCTTTGAGTTAGGCAACCCTCGGAGGGGACCAGGATTTGCATCCGGGATGTGCTGTTGCACGTCCTGGTGGCTCTATGAGAACTATCTTCCTTGCAAAGACTCTTCCCATTCGGTACCTGGTTGGAGGCACCTGCATCCACCATCAGCAGGGATGGAAGGGGCTTCTGCCAGTTGCCCCTCACGTAGAGGGAAAGGGAATTGAAAGACTTAAGAAAGGGGCTTCTAGCCTTCAGTAGGACATTCAGAGCAGTTAATGTGCTCCTTGGGCAAGTCACACAGCACTGGCTTCCTTGTCTCTACAACTGGCACTTGGGAGGTTGTCGTGAGGTTTAATTTAGATCACAGGAAAGCACACAGTCCAATGCCAGATGCATCATCAGGGACACAAACTTTTTTCTTCTCTGTGTATCAGTTTCCCTCTGCCTCAAATTGACTATTACTGGCAAGACAAAAATGACACGATCTACTGGGCAGATGGCGTTTGCGAAAGAGCCCTGCGGAGGCTCCTGCAGCACTAGCGTCGAGAGGAGAGGTGAGGGCACCGTGCCCCGCCTCTCTCCCTGCGTTTCTGTCTGGAAGAGTCTCTTTGTTGTGACTGTTTGGGTTGGGTGCTGTTTTATCTGTTAAGTTCTCCAGCTAGGACAATGCATCCAGGCCATCAAACCTTCAGGGGGCAAGTCTTGAATGATGACTACCCTTACTATCTACCTCCTGTTCACTGATTCTATTAATTGATCATCTCCTCCTTTGGGAAAGAAATAGCAAACAGGCCAACAAGGGGTCCTGCAGTGGTCTGATAGAGGGAGATTTCACGTTTTCTCAACAAGCAACCTAGCGCCTTTAAAATGGCAGGGAAGCATCAGGTGTCCGGACACCTTCTAAACACACGATGTCGCCAGAAAACGGCCATCGTCCCTCAGCTCCTCTCTGTTCCTCTCTCTTCCTAGAGACTGAGAAGGTGATGGGACCCCCTTCCCTGACCTGTCAAAAGAGGCTTTGAAACAAGTAGTCCTCGTGGAGTGAGGCTGACACTTTTGCTTTCATCTCCTTTGGGATCGGTACTGACCCTTAAGTGCTTTTAGTGTGTTACATGACACTTTCCATTTTCTCTAATATCTAAATTCCATTGCTGAGTGTGCACCTGCAGTGTTTTATTTAGAAATAGGACAGTACTATTGTGAATGAGGGGAGCTGGAAACGAATTTACATTGGGTTTCTTTTTCTTTAATGTTCATGGTTATATTTCTCTTGATCTAAAATAGAATAAAAGATTTTATCAAACATTAACTTTCTAATGTCTGAAATATGTGAACTGTTTTCTACGGGGAAAGCACTTCCAACAAATTGGTACATAATTCAATACAATATCTGATTGTATTGAATACAATCTTCAATATCTGATACTGATACCTAAATCAAAAGTGAAATGCTAAATTCATAGGAATGTTAATAGTTAAATTGAATTTGATACCAACAACATTTCAATAAAGAAGGTGTTCAGCTATACACTGAGTGGCTTTTTTAAAATGAAAATAAAAAAGTAGATTTAATTTATTTCAATGAGAGAAGTGTATCAGTAGATATTTAAAAGATAATTGTCCAAACTATTTCATATGATTCGGTGTCATTGAATTGTGAGACATACAGTTGGATTCTGAGTGAGAAGAAAGCAATTATGGCTTATTTCCCTTCTGACCATTAATTTCCTGGCTCTTGGTAGGAAAAAACCTGTGTTGGGAGGAAAGGAGCTGTATCAGGTGTGATATATTTAGGCAGCCATGTTTTACTGCAATACATTCTAGGTAACTCATTCCATACAGAGTCAGATGTAAAAACAAAACAACATATTTGTCCCTAGCTATTTTATGTTTACATAATAATACAGTAAAAATACAGAGGTTTCTGTTCTTTATAACAGTGTTTATTTACATCTCTTCCAAGGGGTGAAATTCTTCTAGCACTTTAGAAAAAAATCACTTTAGACACTAAAGTGCTCATACAGTGACATGGTGTGTTTTCTCTTGCTTGGGAGGCCATTCTCCCAAGCAAAAGCCCCGAGATTAACTACTGCCTTCATTTTCACTCACCTCTGCAAAGCCAGCTCACCAGAATGACTGGGGAGACACCAATGTGGGGGCTCCTGGGTTCTGTGAAATGTGGAGACAATAATAAAAATCCTAAACACTGACTGAAACACGCTAGTCTGTGACCCTGGCAGGACCAGCACTTTAAAGACCATAGTATCATAACCGCTGCTGACGTTCAAAGTCACTGTTTCCAAACACAACGGTAGAAGGTATAGGACAAGGTTATTAGTAAACATTCAAAGCTGGAAGATTTTGTCAAGTAAAGCAGTGAGTTCAAGGTTCAACTTAAGCTCAAACATGGACTCCGGGTTCACATGTTAGCACAATGAGGGATATGAATATTTGGACGGTTTTAGAGACATGGCCATGTGCCTTGCTTGAATGTGACTGATAGCAGGGGTTTTCAGAAGCTCCCTGGCTAGCAGCCCTCCATGTCCTACTGTAGAATGACATAAAAACTCAGGTAGTGTGCTAGCTCTCCAGTCAGGTGACTCATTGTAAAGACAGTGTACCTGGCGACAGGCTGTAAAATGATGTTATCTCAACTTCGTTTCTGGTAAGCATCAGTTTGGGGGCCTTAATTCCTAACATGAGAAGTTCAGGTAGGGGGGGGACTTGGGAAACTGAAAGAGGCACTGCAGTTGTCATTAGTGACAAGAACCCTCAGTCACACTGAAATGCAAGCTTATTTGGTGTTCATCTCGGAAATGCCTCTAAGCCCCGCTCCAGTGGACCCAGCCGCTCACACAGTGTGCAGAACAGTCAGGCTGGTTCCGCTGATGCGGCTGAGGTGAGTGGCCTTCCTTCTCACCCTCCACTTGAGCAGGGAAGGAACCCTTCGGCCGCTCAGAGGACTTGCTGGCAGCCCCTTGTCCCGACGCATCGTGGGGAGCGTGGAAGATGCTAAGGTCTGCCTTGTGATTCCCTTCCTCCAGGGCACCTGGACGACGATGGGTTACCGCACGGGTTCTGCACCGTCACCTACTCCTCCACTGACAGATTTGAGGGGAACTTTGTTCACGGAGAAAAGAATGGACGCGGGAAATTCTTCTTCTTCGATGGCAGGTAGGCCTCGTAGTTTTGCTTTCTTTTGTTTGGGGGAGTGTACCAAATTATTTCATGTGAAGGAATGACACAAACAGCAGAATTTACGTGGATGTTTGGCAGAACTTATAGAAAAGGGAAAAGTAGCCCCAACATGCATGCATGCCCTGCTCTGGGGACCAGGCAAGCCACCACGTGGTGATGGAGAAGCCAGTCCAGGGCTTAGCTCTGTGCACCGCTGCCTCCCAGGGTGTGCTTGGCAAGGGGACACTCTGCAGTGCCAGGTTTGTGGGCCCCCTTCTCGTGTACGTTGCTTAGGAGGTCACCCCTTCCTTTGATGGATTTCGCCTGCTCAGGCCACAAGTCTCAAGGAAACCGCACAGTGGGGTCGTTTGTGTCAGGGGCCGGTTCACGCAGTTCTAAGTGTACCGCACACTCCACGCCTCCGCTGCTCTCTCAGCCCTCATGCGCTGCTTCCCTGCTCCTCAAGGAAGATGCAGCCGCCTCGTCGGTTCTGCAGCTTCATCGGTCTCCCAGCATGTTCCCTCCCCTCCTGGGACTGGCCAGGGAAATAGTTGGCTAAGTTCTGCAAAGCCACGGCATCCCGGCCCGGGAAGGAAGATGTGGTCAGGTAGACGCAGAAGGTATCCAGCTCCGGCCACACAGTGGTGTGAATACCCGTCTTGGGATATAACAGGTCTTCGTGTGGGATACCTGGATGCTGACATCAGCCCGAGGGTTTTCTGTGTTCCACCTCTAGTTAAAACGTTTTTCTCAGCCACACTCCTTTTTCTCTGCTTTCACCTCTTGTAAGAGGACGCTGTGGGGCGGAAGCTGCCTACCCTCTCATGTGGCTGGAATGACTGTTGGACGTTCCTCGTTCAAGAAGAGATGGGATTGCCCATGCACAGGTTTCCAGTGATGACTTTTAAACTGTGTCAGCTTCAGAAATGAAGAGTGGCCACGTGGCTCTCCCAGGCGTTTAGAGGCCCGAGAGCCACAGAAGCGCCAGCTCTTTGCAGACCCCTTGGCTGGGCAACACAGAAATGGGTTCAGCTCATGCACCTATAGGGTTCCATAGGACACAGCACCGCTTCCTAAGCTCTTGACACTGGTAACAACTGGGAACTCATATTAAAATAAAATATGTTAGGTAAAACTGGGAGCTTTCTACACCTTGGAGTTCCTTTGGGAAAGAAAATGTCTTAGCTGACAGTTGAAGGATAACCGCACAGACTGGCTTGTGACCCAGAATCCCTTTTCCATAGACAGAGTAGGTTGTTTTTAAAGACATGAACTGTTTCTCAGGCTTTCAATTATCTGCCACAAGGAAGGGTGAGGAAAACAATTAAAACCCATCACAGAGCTTTTGTAAAAGTTCATGTTAATTATTCATTCCAACCTTCTTTCCCATTGCCCCCAACCCTACACGCCACCTATTTTGTTTTTTAGCAGAGCTTTGTTTACAAACTGCACATTTAAAATGGGGAGATATTTTGCTTCCTTTCTTCTGCCCTGCTGGGAGGACCTGGTGGCCCCCCAAGTCCCGTGGAGGGCTCCCCCAAGACTGGAGCTCAGCGCCGCCTTCTCCCACGCTCCCTTCACCTGTCTGCAGGGAAGTGTCTCCTGTCTCCTCGCTGCCCTACTTCCACAGCAGTGTCTTTACTGCTCTCTTCTGGAAAGTCTCTCTCCTTACCTCATGCTGCAATTACTCTCTGATTCATTTAGCAAATGTAACTTATATAAATGTCTTGTTTCCCCTATAGGACAGAAGTTTCCTTGAGGGCAGAATCTTGTCTGTTTCCTCTTCTGGGCTTCCTAGCACTTTCCCGTAATTTGATGCTTAAAAAAAATTCTTGCTGAATGAGTGTGGGAGCTGAGAGAGAGAATTTACCCAGAACACATACACACGCTCACTCGCGCTTTACATCTGGTGGTTTCGCAATGGGAGCAAGTATTCGACTGACTCTAGGGAACCAGTCCAGCAGGTTTGGTTGGTTATTGGCATTAGTTTGGTTGGAATTTAGTGTTGGTTCCTTGCTTGTTGCACAGACCTGATCCACGGAGTACCGATGGCCTAGACCAAGCTGCCAAACCAGGGTGGCAAGAATGACCTAGCTGCATGTTAGCTCCAAAATGCAGGTCCCCTTGGCCCTGGGCACTGAGTGGGGCCTGAGTCTCCCCAGAACCTCCCTTCATCTGTCAAGCCAGTCACTTCTGGCTCCAAGCAGCTGCATCCAGTCACCCCCGTGTGTTGTTCAAACACAGTCATTTGCTTGTGTGTCATGATGTGACAGAGCTGAAGCACTGGGCCAAAAACTACCCGTGGGATAGAAATAAATTCATTGACTTTTTTTTGAGGCCCCAGTTCACTAGTTTTCATGCCGACCGCTGAACCCCCGGGCGGCACTCCGCTCAAGGAATAGACTCAAAGAATGATGGTATTAGGGGAGCTGACCTTTGTTAGCTTTCTTCAGACGGATGGGGACGGGGATGCCTTGAGGGAAGTGGGTCAGTGTCATTGCTTTTGTGACATGTGATGATGTGGGGTGGTGATAGGTTCTCGTCACCATCTTTCTTAAACCCAACACTGATCCTGTTATGAAACACCTGCTCAAAGGATTTGCTGTACACATTGTAGTCTTACGACTGGATTTCGTCATAGAGAAGCTTCTACATGAAGCAGCACCTTACTTTACATTTGTCTGTTAATTTTTTTCTCTCTTGCCACTCCTAATTTTTAGGGTCTGATATGTTAGGTAAAATAAAGTGGGAACCCCACAGCTTTACTGCCATTCAGGAGGCTCTGGTCTGGAAAAATTCCCTCACAAAGGCTAAAGTCAAGGTTTTGAAGTAACAGATGAGGAAACGGAAAGTTTCTATTAAGTTTTTAGAAGTTGTTCCAACACGTAGTGCTGGCTAATGTTCCCACCAAAGGGTTTGTTTGCGATTGCAGGAATCTGTGTTTGTAAAATCACGAAGTGTTCTAATCTTCTATAAAGACATTCTAATCTCCTATGAAAACTGCGCTCAAGTGCGTGGCTTTTTAAAACCCAACGCGTTAAGCTATGATTCACATGCAGGAAGCTGTTCATATTTAATATATATCACTTGATGGGTTTGGAGTTAAATGTATGTCCACCAAACCATTGCCATCATCTATGCCATGAACTGGGTGTGTGATTATGAGAAGGTTTCATACAAGTATGAATTTATAGCAAGAAAATTCCACTGATGTGGCTCAGCGCATTGAGCATGGCCTGAGAAAGGTCACTGGTCTGATTCCCCGTCAGGGCACGCGCCTAGATTGCGGGCCAGGTCCCTGGTTGGGAGCGCGCAAGCAGCAGCCTATCGATGTTTCTCTCCTGCACCTCAGTATTTCTCTTTCTCCCTCCCTTCCCCTCTCTCTAAAAATAAATAAATACAATTTTTTTAAAAAGAAAGAAAATTCCATAATCAGTTTTTCCCTTAACACAGATTATGATCAACCTACATAAGGATTTTAAATATTCAGAACACCACCGAGGAAAACGGCCCTGTTAAATTTTTTATCCAAGTTCCTGGATTTAAGCAGATTTTACTTTATTTTTAAATTGCATATGTGGCAAAGGCTTGGTTGAATAAAAAAACTCCAAGAAACAGAGCTATAAACAGTGACTGTTTTTTGACCCTCCCCCTTGCGCCGCAGTTCGCCGCTGCAGGCAGAGAATTGGAGCATCTGAATTAAGCCTGTTCAAGGTAAAATAAGGAAATAGCTATTTATAAATCTCTAAATTCAGTTTAAATAATCAAATTATACCTTGTTTACCTTTTTACTTCCGTCTCGGCTTCAGAACGTTTGCTAGTTTTGAGACCTTAGTCAACAGTTGGTCTTCCCTTCATTATCTGACAAAATGTAGACCCGAAGAGCTGCGTTGCTGCAACAGGTGTATTACGTCAGAAACCTGAAGCCAGACCACTCACGCATCCTTTGCCAGGCAGTTTATCCCACAGATGAGGAGTGAATGTGAAAACTGACCTTCCTCTGGAAATTGTTTTTTCAAGCAGCTATTGTTTTCCATTTTTTCCTCTTTTTTAAAGGAAAGAAGCAAATGTGCAAAGATTAGGTTATTGGTCCTAGATGAGGCATCTGTGCAGCGAGGAGAAAGGAAGCCTGGGCCTCGCTGGCGTGGCTCTGGCGTGGATTTGCTGGGCCACAGTGGGGTGTCAGGAAAATGTTTACAATGCAAAATACTCGATATACACATCTCTAATTTTCATACTAATCCTCAATTCTAGATGTTTATTTTGAAGTGTTTATTTTTTCATAACTCATTTCAGCCAAGATTATGGATGTAAAGACAATTCAGCAGAACTTCCCAAAATCCTAGGATGGTAACAAGGAAGGGGTGTTTGAGTGCAGATAGGCTTTGTGTTGTGTGATATTAGGGAATCGTGTGTTTTTAGCCTGATTATGAGATAGACATGAGCTAATTCATTCAGTTTTATTTGTTTATGTTATCGTTGCTTCTCCTTACATGTAAGTTAAGTTTCCAAATATTATTTATTGCTCTGTGACTTCACCGTACTATGCCCCAGTCACCTTCTGAAGTTGATTTGCTACATTAATGTGTCTGGCTAAAGAGGGCCTCTTGTAGTTCATCACTGGCCAAATAACCCAAGTGAGGCTGCCCATCTGATGAGCCACTAAGAAAAGCTGACACGTTCCAGGTGACAGGTCTGTGAAGGACTTCTTGTGTTTGTTTTTTAGAAGGTGCTTGGTCGCATTTCAGAGAAACTGGAGTTGGAATGAACTTCTGAAGTCATGTATTCCGACCTCCCACACAAGGCAAAAAAAAAAAAAAAAGTCCCCTCTTTTTCTGACAGTCCCCCAGCTTTTGTTGGAACTCAACACAACAAATATATTCATCTGTACTCTCATAGACAGTTCTGATAAGGCAAACCTTTGGGGGGCACACAAGAAGAAAGGGAGTTGAACAGAATGGGTAACTTTGAATACCTATCATTGGTCACTTGCCTTCATAGCAATCTGTGAAGTTAGTTTGATCATCCTATTTTTCGTGTGAAGAAATTAAAGCACAGAGCAGTTAACTAAGCTGCCCAAGGCCCCCACTGGTAAGGGTTGGAGCTGAAATTCAAACCAAGGTGAGTGGAAGGGCAGAGTCCCGCCTCTTCCCATTGCATCTCACCACCCTCCCCTCTAAACAGAAGCAAGGAAATACCTCTGACTCCAAGGGCCTTTCTTGCAGGCTTCAAACATTACCTGAGGTCACTTCTTAGCGATAACAGTGGGAAGTTCAAAGGAGCCCTGGGGTGAATTCTGCGGCTTTCCTGTGGGAGCAGAAACAACATGGTTGGAGCCTGGTCGTTTGATGAGGCTTCTCCTGAGGAACAACTCAGAGGAGCCCGGTCCTAGGGAGTTGTCCTCTTCCTCATTTACAAAATGGAGATAATCACACCTGCTGCTCGGCGCTGTCCTGAAGATTGAAGAGAAAACCCGTACAGACATTGTAGGTGCTGCCGGAAAGCATGGGGTATTTTTTTTTTCTTTTGTTGCTGTGTATCTGCATTTTCCCCAGCTTTATGGAGATATAATTGATGTGACATACACAAGTTTAAGGTGTACAGTGTGAGATTTGATATACGTATATATTAAGAAACAATTACCACAATAGGGATAGGTTCCACTTCTATCCCTTTACATAATTAACACTTGTGTGTGGGGGGCAGTAACATGTAAGATCTACTCTCTTAAAAAGTTTCAGGTATTTGATAAGAGTATTGTGAATTGTAATCACCATGGTTTACATTAGGTCCCCAGAACTTACTTATCTTATAGCTGGAAGTTTGTTCCCTTTGACCAGCAGCTCCCCATCCCCCACCCCTCGGCCCAGCAACCACCACTCTGCTTTCAGTCTCACGTGAGCCAGGCTTTTTTAGATTCCACATGTAAGTGAGGACACACAGCGTTTGCCTTTCTCTGTCTGACTTGATTCACTTGGCATAATGCCCTCAAGGTCAAGGATGGATTATCTTTTAATTATGGTTGTTACTACTATTATTAGTTGATAACAAAGCGAACATAGTTTTCTTACAGTTTGTTTTTCGAGAGCAAAACTAAATTTCACTAATTGTTTCTCAAATATTTTACTGCCATCTTGGGTCTCTCCAAGAATCAGATCCTACAGACTCATAGACCATCTAAAGGGTAAAAAGACTTTGAAGACAGACGCGCATTGCAGTTCGCGGAAGCTGGTGGCGCTTCCCTTCAGCTGCTTAGCACACCTTGGGCAGAGCTGAGGCTTCTGGCTGAAAGGATCCCAGCAGATGATTTGGGTTTGTTGTTGATGTTCTTCTTTTACTTGTCAATATTTTAAGAGTTAATATATAGTCACATAAAATAATTCCTAAAACAATGTTTTTCATAAGAATCCCAGTTTAATTTGGTTATAGATGGGAATTTAAAGAGGAATTATGATTCACATTAAATTTCCCTGTTGGTTCTTATATTGTTGCACTGCCTGGGAAAGGAAAGGGACAGTTACGGGAGAAGAGAGTTCACGCCTCAGTCAGTAGAGAGCCCAAAGCCACCTAGAGCGCAAAATCGACTACAGCCCAAAACTATGAAGGAAAAGCGAAAGCCGTTAGGTGTCCAAAGTCCACTTTTGTGTATTCAGAATTAAAGAGAATTTGAGAATGAATGCAAACCATGGGTCTAGGTCAAAGAGAGGGTGGCCCATACATTTTTTTCTGACTGTATCCTCAGGGGGGTTAAAAGTGCGGCAGGTCTGTTTTAAAGAGGAGAAGCGAGGAAAACGCAGTCTGGAAGCCAGCATGCGTAGACAGATGTGTGCCCTGGCCCGCAAGGGAGCTGCCGTGAGCAGAGGCTTCTGGAGCAGGCGTCGGCAAACCTTTTCTGTACAGGGTGAGCCAGTCTGTATGTTAGGCTCTTCAGGCCGTATACAGTCTTTGTCGCAACTCTCCCACTCTGCTGTTGTAACAGGGGAACAGCCAGGGAGGATCCGGGAAGGAGTGTGCACGGCCGTGTTCCAGGAACACTGTACTGACAGAAACATGCGGCAGGCCATGGCCTGCCACCCTCCTCTGGGGGAGCGAAGAGCTGGAAAGAAAGGTTTGCTCCTTTAACATCGCACTGAGCTTTTATATTACTGCCTGCATGGCAGAGGATTTCAAGGCCATGTCATTTTTACTGCTCTGGAGGACCCAGTGTGGAAACATGCCCCTTTTGTCTTCAGATGCTATCCAAGCCACCGTAAATATATTTGCCCAGAAAGCGAAGCTGTCTCCTGTGGCAGGTGCTGAAAATAATGCAGTTAAGTTTTGCTCTCCAATGCCTCAAGCATTTGCTTTTGGGTGTCTTATGTCAGTTGGGCTAAGAGGAAATAGCCGTTTATTCTTGATCTTATGATACTAATAAGAATGAGCTTCGTTGCCAGGCACAAGCGGCTGGATATCGGTGGGGGGATATGTCTAAGCCCGTATCGTTGTTTAGCTGATTCACAAGACCCCTGTCTTGTACAGTCGATCATAAACCTGGGAGATATTGGCAGATTAATTCTGCCCAACACATAATTCAGCTTTGAACGCTGCTAAGAACCCAGTCAATCTGGTTGCCAGGTTAGCCAATAAAAATCCGGGGCGCCCAGTGAAAATGGCCTTACAGGTAAACAACAAAAATATTTTAGTGTCACGATGTCCCATTCAATATTTGGGGCATACGTACACTAAAAATTTATTTGTTGTGTATCTCAAATTCAGAAGTAATTGAGCTTCTTGTATTTTCTCCAGCAATCCTAAAAATGAAGATAAAGGATAAAAGAGTTTTTTCGCAATATTTATTGCATCATTATGTCTGTTGATTAGTTATCCTTCACCACAGTTTTTTTTAATTGTGGGAGTCTAATGGCAGTCAAATCTCATTAATTCCAACCTTGCTGATTTAGAATTTTGATGATCTATGCAAGAGTTCTGCTAAAGTGCACTTTAAAATAAGCCTATTTGTCATTCATAGTACAAACAAAACTGAAAGAACTATTTATCTCCTTGGGAGACTACAAATGGTGTAATTACAATGTAATCAGAGGCTAGCGTTATTTGGACTCTACTTTTCAGTTAATAATTACAGATCATTCTGTCACTTATTAAAGCGAGACAAGACTTTACCAGGCACAGTCAGGTGCAGCCACCTCAGTCCTCATGGTCCCTTCCGTCCCACCTGTCACCAGTACGCAGTGCATTGGGCTCTCTAGGACCTCACACCACGCTCACTTCTTAGAAGGCCCCCTGTGAATGTTTGTTAGTTGACTTAATGAATATATGCTACCTGCACATGTTCAAATAATCAAACTGTCTTTGTTGCTAAACATCTCACATTTTAAACTCAAAAAATAATTTGAGTTGGCCTCCCCCTATTCCAAATCTCAGGCCGTGAAAGGAGTTTGTGGTGGTTAGTTTCATGGTGTGCTGGCCTCTGTGAGGCTAACACTGAAAACACGTTGCTGAAATCCTGCAAGTGTTTTTTGAGGAGAGAGAGGTGGAGAGGTACTTGTCAAGTCACCACGAGCACCCTTGTGAGCATCCCTCTGCTCTAGGACTGTGGGTCTCCAACACTGCCAGGCCGCTGGGGACCTTATTAAGGTTTAGCCCGCGGTTTTCCTTACTTGCCCCCATTTTCCATGATCACACACGTGCTCACACACACACTTCAGTAGACTTCTGCACAGCTTCCAAAGAGACGGAAGGGGATTCTTCTGATTGGATACCAATGATGGCTGTCACTGACAAATAGTACATTAATGATTTAAAACCAATACGTAGACATTTACACATTCTCATCACTGGAGACGCTCTATACGAGCCTGAAAGACACTGAGTCTGCCAGTGGACTCTGGGCCACCCCTGAGGCAAGTGAGGCCTGAGTGGCTTCTCCGTGGAGAGCGTGACGCCAGAAGCTCTCCTGTCGGGTAGAGATCGGCACCCAGTCTGGAAACGTACTCAGATGAGGCTTGTTCTCACTTCCCACCTGTGGCTTCTTCCTTCTGTACTTCCTCCAGCAGAGAAAATGGGTCAAAGGCAACCAGGAGACTAGGAATGAACTCTCCCTCTCTGCTCCTAACCCTTCGCAGTGTTTTTTCTAGCAATCCAGCCGCATTCAGGAGGATGAACTGACCCCAGGTCAGTGGTGCTCGGAGGTGATCCTTTCTTTCTGGAGAGCTGAGCCGTGGCCTGACGATTCCTTTTGTTCCCCCTTCTCCCGCAGCACCCTGGAGGGGTACTACGTGGACGACGCCCTGCAGGGCCAGGGCGTGTACACCTATGAGGACGGGGGCGTTCTCCAGGGCACCTATGTGGACGGGGAGCTCAACGGGCCGGCCCAGGAGCACGACACAGACGGGAGGCTGATCTTCAAGGGACAATACAAAGATAACATCCGGCATGGAGTGTGCTGGATATATTACCCAGTAAGCCTCGCGACTGCTCGTTTTGCTGGAAAGTAGCGTGTTTTAAGGCAGTGCTTTGACTCTTCACAGTCAAGAGTCAGCTGTATTCTCTCTGTAAGGCAACGGGAAGCTGTGAAACTTGAGAGTCACAGCAGCTGAAGCCAAGAGTCTAGGAGCTACGTCCTCTCGCTGTTGACTTAGCTTGTTGGCCCTTCCACCCACTATGAATTCCTGCTCAGCGTCATTTTGGAAAAGAATGATTAATCATGATTGAAGCAAATTGAGACAAATTGGTTAAATTGTACTGCTAATAAAGACAAAAATACATCATTTTCTAAAATATTTCTTTTGCTATAATATAGAAAGAGATGGTGCCATCTCTTTCATTGTTGCATTTAATTTTATTCTGTTTCTCATACATAAGAACTAATCCAGCAATTCCCCATCTCTTTGGATTTACTACACTGTATTACTTGATTTTATAACCCTGCTCCTTACACTATTAGGTGCTTTATGACTTATATTGCTTAAATTAAGGTGATTAAAATTAACTTGCCTTTGAGTATTTGATAACATGTTATGATATTCTGGAGTTTACTAGAGCAAAAAGATGTGTCAAAACCCATGGTTTGGAATTAATGCTCTAATTTTTGTTTGCATTTCAAATATCCCCATCTGTTGTTAGTGAACTTCCAGAAAATGTTTCCAAAAATAGACCTTAGAAAATGTTTTATCTAATATTTTATTTTGTCCAGAGCTTCTGTGAAAATACATTTTTTTCTTACTCTGAACCCTATCTTATAATTAAAAAGTATTAATAAAAGCAAGTATCTATTACATGTGTAGTGAGAAAAGTAGTCCCAGCCAAATCTACTTACACATTATTATTCTTGTCTTTTAAGATCTTTTTTATTTTCCAGAGAGAGGGAAAGGGAGGGAGAAAGGGAGAGAAACATCAATGTGTTTGAGATACATTGACCAGTCAACCGGTCGCCCCCAACCAGGGACCTGGCCTGCAACCCAGGCCTGTGCCCTGACTGGGAATCAATCTAGCAACAGCAACCCTTTGGTTCGCAGGCCGGTGCTCAATCCACTGAGCCACGGCAGCCAGGGCGACACATTATTGTTCTTAAAAGATAAGTTATACTCTACAAACAGGCCACAAGAAAAGAATATTGTAAAAACAATTTTAAAATAATTACACATGCTCTTGGTAGGATCTGCAATAGATCAGAAGTCCTTTCATGCTACCTAGAAGTAGCAGGAAGAGGGAAGTGGTGGAGGCACTTAGCAGCTCAGAAAGACTAACACTTTCTGGCTTCATGAATAGGCAGAGTACACATCTTGCTGCTGATAGGACAGTGACTCTTGAAGTCAGGGCACGTGGAACCCCCTGCTTAAAGATGGCTATAGGAGAGACGCAGAACATGGGTTAGCAGATTCTCCCACTACCTGTCATTTTGCTTGTCACTGTGATCAATGGAAGTGCCTAGATGAGAGAAAAAATGCAGTACATGAATGGGTCCACCTAACTCAATGTAGTTGCAGTTTGAAACCTAAACGTGCAGCTACATTTTAGCTTTTAGCCTTAACTATTATCTTATTAAATGCCAAGAGAAGACTGTCCCTTAGGAAGGAAGCGCTGGGGAGCTACAAGCTTTCAAAATAACCTGGTTGATAACACTTGCTTTATCTCCAGTGCCTGCTGGCGGTGGAGGGGACTAAGCCCACCCCTCTGCTCTCAGCTTCGGAGTGAACTAATAAGAAACAGGCGGAGGTGTCAGGGATCACAGCGTGGGTTCATCGTGGCAGTGCCGGGTTGGAGATGTGGTGTGGGCTCCTGCCTTCCCCTCTGAGCCGGACACCTGGTTCAGCAGCAGACGGAGCAGCTGGGAAGCTGCTCATCTCCCCTGGGAAAGCAGGGCCTGCCCAGGGTGCTTCCCCAAGGGGAAGACAGGAGCAGAACAGGGGTGCCTGCCGGGACTGCCAGTTCCAGCCTGGGGATGGGGGTTGGGGAGGGGCTGAAACCGCAGGCCCCACGTGCGGGCAGGCGGGGGTGGGGGGGCCGCAGCTTGATCCTGTTAACCCCTTATCCACCAGCGACGTCGGTGGGTGAGCAGAGGGGAGAGATCAGGAGCTTCTTCCCTGGCACCCTGACACAGCAGGCAAGGAAGTTTTGGGACATGGGGTCCAAGCAGGGACAAGGGGAGGAAAACCTAATGATTCTCCCTGCAGTATTTATAAGCTCACCCTAAGGAGAGTTTCCTTCTTTCAGAATTTTACCTTGGAACAGGTAAAACTTTTTTACAAACTTGACAAAGTTTTTAAAGAAAAATTCATAACCCCTTTTGGAGGTAAAAGAAGAATCTCTGTTTTATCATTCCAGACAGACAAATAAATGCATTTGCCTTCCCGCCCCCAAACCAGAAGCTTAAAGCACTTAAGGGAAAAAAAAGTGAGACCCTAAAAGGACAGGATGAAGAGTAGCAAAGGCTTATATCCCTCCCGGCGCGTAAGAAGCAGAACACTCTAACACCCTTCAGCTCAGCTGATCGCTGAAAGCCCAAAGGCCAGTTTTGCAAAGAGTATCATCCCCGTTATGCTGGGTTATTAAGAATTAACTCAGGAGGAGAAGCAGCAATAATATATCCCTAATGCACTTTCTATCTGTGAAAAACATTTCCAAGTATTTTTCTTTCTATGGAAGTGCTGTGATTCATTTTTTAATTTATAACTTTTTTTTTCTCCAAAGAACAATTAGGCTTCGGGGAACCGCACACACCATGTACCTGATGCTCCTTAGGCCTGTTGGCTCTCAGTAAGAGCAGCGTGGCGGTCACTCGGAAGTCACCCTATGTCACTGGCTTTGGGTAGCTGCTCCTAGAACCTCTGAGTTGGGGATATAATCAAGCTTTTGGAAGATGTCCTGGCATTACTGTTGTTATATCACACCCACATTTCAAAGTTACACCATAAGGCTCTTTGGCATGGCAAAAAAAAAAAAAAAGAAGAAGAAAGAAAACATCTCTTGCACCTTAAGATTAGGTTATTTTTTATTATTCTTTAGATTATTTTTTGGTATCCCAGCTCAATTCGAACAAGGCTTATGGGTCACCTACTGTGTCCCCAGCACTTACCAGGACACAGAACTCTATGAGTGCCTCCGCCCTAAAGCAGTATGACCCTTAGAAGGGGGTAAATGGCCATTAGCGAGGACACCCGGCTGGCTGCTCTCCAAGAAGGAGGCCAGAGGAAGCAGTAAATAGAGAAAAGTGGGGGGAAAGGCATGATGGGGAAGCCAGTGCCATCTTGTTGATCTTTTTTCACTTTTTCTTCTCACTCCCAAAAGAGTGATGGTATGGGATTCTCAGAAAGGCAGTATCCAGAAGCCCTTTAGCTTATCTCTTAGAAAATGCAGCCAACTCTCTTTACTCACAGACACTAAATTAGCTGAGTGCATTCAACTAAAGATTTTCTTAATTGACCAGAAATCCAAAAGTCAACATTGAGGAGTGAGATTGTGTGGGTAGTAGGTAAGACTGTCTTGCTACAGATCCTCATCACGTTTGCTAATGGCCCAAAATAACACTAGTTCCATTTCTTCATTGTATGTAACTAATACTACAAATATGACACATCTGTTTTAGATAACAAACCAGATCAAGAATCAGTAACTTGTTCAGGATGACAAAGGGCAACTCAGCCTCTGATGCTCGGTCTCGGGCTCTGTGCTCCCAACCCCCCCCCACACACACACACACAAATGCTAGCAGTCTGTTCGCGTGGGGCTGGATGGAGAGGCATGCGCCATGTTTTCCTCCCTCATCTGAAGAGCTCTGAGTTCTTCAGCTGTCCTGACCCACAGGAGTGCTGTAAGAATGAGAGTGCACACGAGAAGTTCCTTAAACTCGTGCATATAGATAAATACTATATATAATGTTTCTGGATTTTGGTTTCTCCTGTCAGGATGGAGGCAGCCTTGTAGGAGAAGTAAATGAAGATGGGGAGATGACTGGCGAGAAGATCGCCTACGTGTACCCCGACCAGAGGACGGCCCTTTATGGAAAATTCATTGACGGGGAGATGATAGAAGGGAAGCTGGCCATGCTGACGTCCACAGAGGAAGGACGGCCTCACTTTGAGCTGATGCCTGGAAGTAAGTTGGGCGGGCGTCGGGTGGGCCGCGCTGGTCCAGAGCAGGCGGTTAGGGCTTACTGGACAGAAGTCCCCTTCTTTGCCTGGCCCACAGTAATAGTGTATTTCCAGTCCAAGTTAAGTTATAACAGGAAAAAAGCAGAAAAGATAATAAATGTCTGTGTTAACAGGCCCAAATAATCTTCAGCTATTTATAATCTGTAGAGATTCTCCAAAGGGAGCCTGTCCAAAAATAGAAAATCTAGCATTTTGCATTTAGGTCCAACTTAGGTTGTCTTAAATGTGTCATTTTTTTGTCTTTGTTTTAAGTTAAAAATTAAGGCCATCTGATTGCAATGCGGGGCTCTGGTTTGGATCTTGGAACAGGAAAGGACATTAGTGGGAAAACTGGTCAAAGCTGAATAAAGGCTGGAGTTTAGTTAAAAGTAATGTAGCTGTGCTGGTTTTTCAATTTTGACAAACATATCATATGACATGAAAAGCTAACATCAGGAGAAACAATGAGGGGCATTGGGAACTCTCTGTGCTATCGCGGCAACTTTTCTATAAATTTAAAATTATTCCAAAAGCAAAAATTTCTAAGCGAAACAGTAATGGTTGAACTTCAGACTCTAATATCATATCTGTGCTCTTCACATGTGGTTCTAAAAGGAGACAGCATCACAATGTTTAGCAATGAGGAGACTTGGACCAGAGGATCCCAATTGGTGATGCCAATTTTAAAACTTCAGAAGTGGCAGTATTTTTAGTGGCAAGATCCTTGGATTTAAGTGTCACCTTATTTGTGAAGAGGGTAAAGGGGATCAAATATATGGCGGTGGAAGACGAGTAGACGTTGGGTGGTGAACAGGTATACAACCTTATAATACAGGTGCTCTATTATAAGGTTATACACCTGCAACTTACATAATGTTATTAACTAATATTATCCCAATAAATTTAATTTAAAATTCTATAAAAGAATAAGTAATGACAGGGGTAGGGGGAAGTCACCTAATTTGAGTCTCAGCTCCAACATTTACTGTATTATATTCTTGGGCATGTTTTCATTTATCTTTTCAGAACCTGTTTCTTCATTATAAAACACAGATTTTGGCACCTACCATACAATACCGTAATGGAAGTCCTTGTTATTGCATTCTTCTTGGTATTAGTAAGAAACAGATTTTGGGAAGTGAAAGTGATAGTTCTCAGGGGAATGATGGTTTTTCTTGGAACTCCCGGTTGCAAATAACAAACACCCTCTTCAAACTAACTTAAGGCAAAAAAAAAAAAAAAAAAAAAAAAAAAAAAAAAGGCGTGGGGTGTGTTGGCAAAATCCTGGCAGACCTCAGCTCTTTAAAGGACTGTTGAACAGTTTGGGTCTCAGGAGAGTCAGGAACGGTGGCTCCTTCAGGTTGCTCGGAAGCAGCCATGCGCAGATCTCTAATGTTCTGCCACTTCCATTTCTCCCCCACTGCCTCGTTCAGCGACATCTGTTGAACTCTGACTAGCTGACATATCACAGGGACATGTGGCCGTCTGGCCCAGTGTCTGGGGGAGGAGGCAGAGGCAGAAAACGGAATGCAAATCCCTCACCTGAAACACTCCTGACCTGGCTCCCCCCTGACCTCTCCTCCTTGACCTCTCCCCCTGACCTCACCACCCTACCCTTTCTCCTTATGCCTCTGTAACCACAAACTACTTGCTTCTGGGTCTCCACTTCCTTCTTGCTGATTTCCTCATTATGCCTCTGGCTGGAATGTCTTCTTCCCTGCACACAGGAATTCCTGTCCCTGGCTAGTTCCTATTCCAGCTGACGGAATGGCTTCTGGTTAAAGGTTCCAGTACAAACTAGAGAGAAGGAGGGACAGTTAAGGATGCCTTCTGTTTGCCTGGAGCATCAAGCTGCCTAGAGGAGTGAAGGAAGGGACAGCAAGTGCTGTAAAAGGTGCCATCGACTCCTTGAAAGCAGGAAGATGTTACTCCTGTTGCTTGGCACTTGGTGTATTTGCCATGAAAGTGTCGGTCTAAGGGAAGGAGGTGAAGTTCATAGAAGGATTTCTGTACAATAGAACATGTATTCCACAAAAGAGTGCTTAAAAAGTGCCGAGTTGGTTTTTTTTTCTCTTTTGAACTAACTTCCTTTAGTGAAGCGTGTGCTGGTCCGTTACCAGCGGGCTCACAGGTGTGTGCTCTTAGACACCTGCCTCGGCCGTTTCCAGCCCTACTTCAACGCAGGGACCTGCCCCTTGCAGGCTGCATTTCCCAGGCCCCTGCGCCTCTGGGTTAGGCCACAGAGAGGCACTGGCCAGCGACACAAGAGGGAAGGGAGCAGGGAGAAGCCCTGTCTGTCCAGCGTTGTCGCCAGCACCGGCCTGCCTCCTGATTCCAGGAAGGTCCCCACAGTTCCCGTGTCCTTGGGCTGCCCTAGCTCTCTAGCTCCGGGAACCCCAGCTCTAGAGCTTCAGGAACCCCAGCTCTGCCTTTGTCCCTCTGGCTTAGGGTCGTGGTTCCTGCTCGTGGCAGTTTCTGGTCCCTGCACTGCCCTGTCGGGCTTCTCAGCTCTTCCATCCTCCGAGTTACTGACACCCTGAATTCAGTTCTCTCTCTCTGCCGCACTCAAGTGGTCTGTTTCCTAGTTAGACACTGACTGACTGGGTCATTTTCTGTCTTTTAGTTTGAGACATTAATTTTGTGTTTTGATTATATTAAAAAAACAAAACAAAACAGAAAGAAGACCTGGTAACCATTGGGAACCACTGAGGAATTGCTTGATGGAATTATTTGTGATGCCTTATTGCCTAAAATAATTGACTTTGCAGGAGTCGGCCCTCAGTTCCAAAAGTTGTTTCTTTACTCATTAGCCTTTGGAGCATCATATGTCTTCACTGTGCTCCGGGAGGATCCTTGGAGGCTCATTCTTTGCAGAGAACCAGTGTTAATTCTAGGACGGTTGTTAATTTTAAGACTGTAGTTTCCGGAATAAATTACTAATTGGCTTCTGAATCACTTTTAAGAGAAATAGGATGACTTTGTAAATGCTTCCTCAACAGCGGTTCTGCTCTCCTTCACTCTGGTGAAGCCAAATGTTTGTGTTTAGGGGAGGAGACCATAGCCAGGGCTGGGCAACTGGATTCTACAGCCTGTGTCTAGTATGAGGAAAACCACAAGAAAATTTTAAAACCATTATCCAATCTGATCTGACCAGAGAGATTTCAAAATTTCATGACAAAGCATTTTCTGGATTAAAAAATTTAATTACACAAGCACCATTTAAACCATTTGAATACAGAAATTTCAAAAGAAAAAATAGCATTTTAAGAGGTACCTGTAATGGCTCTTTCATTAACACCTGAATCTGAGACTCAAGAGCAAACCTAACAGCTGCCCATTGATACTGAAGAATTTCATTCTAGTTGGCAGAACTTGAATAGCATTTTTTGTCATTTAACTCTTTCCAGTCCCATGGATAGAGAGAAATGTTTTCAGTGCTTTCCCTACTGAGATTTTTGTTTGCTTCTTAGGTTCGGTGTTCCACTTCGACAAGTCAACTTCGTCTTGCATTTCTACCAATGCTCTTCTCCCAGATCCGTATGAATCAGAGAGGTATTTGTTTTTTTCCTTGTGGTTTGAATAGCACTGTCTGTGTGAAGTTACATAACTCTAGTGGTGGGAGCCCGTGGTCCTCGGTGGCTCTCTGCTCAGGCCGAGTTCCTGACCGTAAAAAAAAAATGCTCGTATATTCTGAAGAAGACTGTTTTCATTCTCATATAAAATCTGTCCCTGTAAGGGAGTTGCTCCACTCATAAAGCACAGAACAGCCCATAGAACAAAACCTCTACATAGGCGCTCAGGCCAGGGAGTCAGCCAGCAATGCCCTGCCCAGGTGTCCCCTTTCCCGGGGCTCTGGTGTCACAGTTTGTGCTGCAGCCACACGCTGGCCTCTCAGGGTGCGTTTTGCACCCTTTAAAGCTCTAGCCTGCCAGGCAGCAGAATGCCTTCTTTCCTACTCAGCCCAGCCGAGAGGGTCTGTAGGACAAAGGAATTTATTCACTGAGGGACAGTAGGAGAGAAACGAAGAAACTCTAAGAAGCATAAAAACATTCCAGCCTCTAAGTGACAAGTGTCTGATTCTATAAGCTCACTCCCGGAGTATGCAGTCCTGCTCCATTTCCTATCTTATCTAAACTCAGCTCCTGGTTCTTGGTGCCCTGCTTGGGGTTCTTACTCCCTAGTAACTGGCCAGTTGGTGAGTAAGAGCGCCACCTGCAGGTGGTTTTCTCTTGGCCGCACTTTTTGGAAACCTGGCTTCCAGAGCGTGGCTCCATTCAATCTCTGTTCTGTTCCCATCTCAGAAACAGGCCTTTTTCCTAGTTTAACTGACAGGGCTGACCCCACAATGTCACAATGAATGAATGGTCTCTTTCTTGACACGAGGCTCTGGCCCATTTACAAAGGGAGGGGTCTGGTCTCCTGTTAGCCCCAAAACAACAGTACATCACGGTATATATCAGTCTTTTTTGTGATTATGACAATGCCACTGTCGTTGTAATGATGCTGCATAACGATATCCAAACGATCAGTGGTTGACAAATGCAAACCTTTTCCTTTATGCTCCTGGCTCTGGAGTTGGCTGAAGTTCAGCTACTCTTGACTGGGCTCAACGCAGCTCAGCTGGACTAGGCTGGGCTCCAGGTTTCAAGTTGGGTTCAGGTCTGTTTCCCATGTCTTCATTCCAAGATTCAGGCCGAGGACCAGCAGCCTCCCAAGCCACCTTCTTCTTGAGAGGGTGCATGGGAACCCTGGAGGAGGCTGGCAGAAACTTGCCGTGCTCCTTGATGCCTGAGGGCTGGCATGGATCACTTCTGCCCACGTTGCTGTAGGAAGCAGATCTTACGGCCAAGCCCAAAGCCAGTCAGGCGGGGATATACCCTCTGCCAGCTCTGAAGAAACACCGCAAGGTCACATGGCAAAGCGGCAGGAGGTGTAATTCTGTGACAAGGAGGGAACTGGAAACAATAATTCAGCCTTCTAGTCTGTAAAATAAGCATGAGATCCATGCAACAAATGTTGCACCAGCTGTGACATCACAGTGCCCAAAGAACTGAGATAGGTGTTGGTGGAACATGTACTCTCTCGTTCAATCCAGTTCATGAGTGTTATTTTCTTATAAAACAAGTGGCTGGCAACATTTTACTGTAAAGGGCCACAGTAAATGTTTTAGGTTTTGTGGGTCTCTATTGCAACTAGTGAGCTCTGCCTTTGTAGCGCAAAAGCAGTCACAGACAATACTAAACAAATAAATGTGGCTGTGTTCCAATAAAATTTTATTTACAAAAATGGGCAGCAGCCAGATCTGCCCCTTGGGTCATAGTCAGCTGACCCAGTATAAACTCCTTTGTTGGGAAGTGCTTATTGGATAGATTTTATCGACTATTTGTGACTCTTTCATGTAAAACATTCATCCTGTGGCTTAATTAAAAGTCCCTCCTATTTGGCACTGACAAACTTGGGAACAGCTTTAATTGACTTTGGAAAATGTTTTATTTGTCCAGAAAAATAGTGAAAATTTACATTACTAAAAACATTAAAAATGTTTTAAAACCTTTTATCAAGGTGAGTTGATATATGAATAAATGAGCCGAATTGATTAGTGAATGTATCATAATCCTCCTCTTACTAGAGAGCATATTTTAAACACCACTCTTAAAAAGGACATAAGTGCCAGTTCTTTAGTTTCCAATGCCAAAATATTGTGGTTTAACTTTTCTGCCTTCCTTCCTCCCTCACTGGATTATTATGAACTAATGTTTGGGAGGCAGGAGCCACCATGATATTTTGGTGGTTGATATAAGGAGCACATCAAAGACATATCAAACTTAAACAATCATGATTTGATTCTTTTTGCTCTTTAGGGTTTATGTTGCTGAATCTCTCATTTCCAGTGCTGGTGAAGGACTGTTTTCAAAGGTCGCTGTGGGACCTAACACTGTTATGTCTTTTTATAATGGGGTCCGAATTACACACCAAGAGGTGAGTGAGGTAGAAGTGGAAAATCAACCTGATTGGTTAAAGGCTTTGTTTCAAACACCCTTAATTTTCTCCTTAGTCTCTTTACTTTAGTATTCACTAGAAGTATAAAGGAACAAACAGATAGGCTTTTTTGTAAAATTAATTGGATATTGTCTTATAAGCAGTCTTCAGACTGTTACAGCAACAAATACAGTGAGCTGGGTAGTGTGAACAACATGCATTTATTTCTCAGGGTTCTGGGAGCTCCAAAGTCCAAGATCAAGACGTGAGCATGTTCAGGTCTGCTGAGAGCCCGCTTCCTGGCTCACAGACGACCTTCTTCTCTCTCTGTAACCTCACATGGCTGGAGGGACAACAGAACCCTCTGGGGTCACCTATATGAGGGCACTGATCCAGTCACAAGGGCTCCACCCTCGTGACCTAATCACCTCCTAACACCACATCGGGGATTGGGTTCCTATATGAATTTGAGGAGGGAACACAAACCTTCTGATATAGCAGATGTTTTCCTCCTTATTTTGAGCCTTAAAATGATTTTTTAAAGTTCCAAACCTATAGAAAGTGGGAGGGTACCATCAATGAAACAGTAATTGCTTGGATGGGATTGTCCCCAGGGTCTGAAAAATTGAGAGCCAACGGGGCTCCCAGTATCTAATTTCTGACCTCGGGCAGGGTGTTTCGTAAGAAGACCCCCTACTTCTGTTTGTGTAAAAGCCATACAGTCACCTACATCTAGCCAAGAAGGGTTCCATTGCCCCCCAAAAAATTAGAAATGAAAAGTTAGAGTTGAGTCACCTTCTGCCTTTAAGACGCAATCTGTGATGTGTTTGCCAGATTTTATATTCTTTGTTCTCATTTCTTAACTTCACAACTAACGTCTTTAAGTGTCTGCCTAACGGCAAAAAGCTCAAGGCTTTAGCACAGCTTGGACTCTCCCTCCCGGTCTGACTTGGGTTGCTCGTGTGCAACTTAAGCTCATATCCCACATTCGTGTCTTCACTTTTTCACTGGTTACAGAATCGTTAGGGGGGAAATGCCCTGAGATAATTAAGTTATTGCTCATTCAAAGCAGTCACACAGGCACACGGAGCTGCATGCACACCGAGCTGTGGTCTGACACACAGTGTCCCCACGTGTCCCCCTGTGATGGCGTCGGCTCTATATGGGCCATCCCAAAAGTCCCAGAAATGCAGCATATGACACGTGGCTCAGGATAGTGATCTATAATGTGTTTATTCAAGCATTTTATAGACAAGGAAACTGAAGCCCAGAAAGGTCAAGCAGTTGGCCCAAGGTCACCTGTATGGTAACTCACAGAGTTCAAGCAGGGTCTCCCAGAGCAGGACCTTGCTCTGTGCTGACACTCACTAGGCTGTACTGTAATAAAATGAATGAGGTGCCCTCCTCATCCACATGGAACTTAGGTTCTGATGGGAGATAAGAAAAATACACAACTAATGACATGATAGCATAAGTGGTTCCAAGTGCCATATGTTAGTATCACATGACAGGTCTGGAATACTGAGATCCACACAGATTTTTTTCACTTGCATCTCTGCTGTATCCCTACCTACGTGGTGCCTGGCATACAGTGGGCACTCAGTAAATATCTCTTGAATGCATATCAGAGACTAATAACAGCTTAATTGTAATTGAGGCAGGAGAGATGGTATACCTCCGAGAGTCAACAGTTTTGTACGAAAATGCAATCCTGTTTGCTCCAAAAGTCTGCTCGGTGGGCACCTACAGATCCTGGGGCACGGGGTGGAGAAGGGAAGGCTGCTGGCGGCCCTGCGGACAGGGAGTCCCGTTGTAGATGAGAAAGCGCACTGCTAACCGGTGACTCGGGGCTGGCCGCAGCGATTGCCCACCTGTAATGGAGGGGTGGGACTTTCCTGAAGCACAGTTGTGCGTTCCTTATATTCCTGGTTCCATGTGATGCTCTCACTTTTGTTTTCCCTCCTCTTCCTCACTGTAGGGGTTCAAGGGTCTTGGGGGCTGACCGAAGAAAAAGGCTTGAGCATGAGAGGCAGCAGCACCCAGCAAGCTTTGGCTGGGGTTTGGACGGGGTTGCAGAAGAGGAGGTGTCCTCCCAGCATATACAGTTTATGGCAGGGGAGCCACCATCCGAGAAGGGAAGAGGGCAGGGAACTCCCAGGAAAGAGCGGGATGGGAGCGGGCACCCACGTCTACAGATGCAGAACACAGTGAGGCAGTCTGGGCTGGAGAGCGCCAAAGGATGGTGGCTGCCGGGGGTCTGTATGGTCCTGGGTTTGTCTCATCCACTGATAGCAGATGAAGGGCGAGGTGTCCCCTTGAAAATACGCTTTAAATGGCTAAAACTCTGCTTTGTTGGGGCTACTTAAAATAACAAATGGATGTGCAAAAATTGGAGTTCAATGCTGGCGGGCTTTTGAGGTAACAGGTTTCAGCATGCCATGAAGAAACAAACAACCTAAAGACATCTGGTTATATGCCATGTGTTTCATTGTGAGGGCCTTTTAATCCTTTTTTTCATATAAGATAAGGAAAAAATCAGTAACTAATAAGTTGAGCTCCCTGGTGACACCGCCTATCCCTTTTGCACCATCAGCAGCTGAGACGCCTTGGGCTCTTTCCCTGTGGTGCTCAAACCAGCACTTCACTTCTCTGATGTCCTTTGAGCTTTGGGGAGAAAGGTCCTTCCTAATTATCACTGTCTTAATTTTTGCAGGTTGACAGCAGAGACTGGGCCCTGAATGGGAACACCCTCTCCCTTGATGAAGAAACGGTCATTGATGTGCCTGAGCCCTACAACCACGTGTCCAAGTACTGTGCCTCCTTGGGACACAAGGCAAACCACTCCTTCACTCCAAATTGTACCTACGACACGTAAGTCTGCCACCTCGCTGTTGGGCAGGTCTGTGCCTTGGGGCACAGAAGAGACCACGTGAAAGGGTATCCTGTTTTCCCGCCCCAGAGGCCGCTGCTCCCTTTGAATACCCGAGGGCCCCCGGCCCAGGGCCTCGCGGTTAGGGCTTGAAACTCATATTCTAAACAACCCCGCTCTTTGGCCTTGGCAGGCTAAGAAAGGGAAGGGACTTTGGAGAGTAGGCATGCTATCGAAATACTGTAGTTGATGGTTGCTGTCTTATTGTAGGTTTTTTGCCTATCAATTGTCTCATTCTGGAAAATTAAGAAGAGTGTTATTTCAAATAAGCAAAAATTGAAATTACTCTCCATACTGGAGAGTAGGGAGTGCTTTTATGAAAGGAAGGGGAAAAAGTCCTAAGCATAGGGCATGTGATCTCAGTGTTGTAAAAGACCTATGAAGTCAAAGAATCCCTATTACTTGACAATAAAGAGGAAGGAAGTATTGCCAAATACTACAACATGGATGAGCCTTGGAAACCTTATGCCAGGTGCAAGAAGCCAGTCACAATAGACCATCTATATGAATTATCCAGTACAGCCAAATTCATAGAGACATTGCAGATCAGTGGTTGCCTAGAGCCAAAGAGAGTGGGGAGAAAGGGGGTCGACAGCTACCGAACATGGGGTTTGAGGGTGATGAAGGTTTTAAAATTTGGTAGTGGCGATGGTTGCACCACTGAAAACCACTGCACTGCACACTTTAAATGGATGCATTTTATGGTGGTGTGAATTATATCTCAACAAAGCTGTTATTTTTCTTCTAATCAAATTATCCTACCTTCCCCTTGGGGTTCGAGTCTCCTCTCCCAACTGCTTGTTGAACCTCTCCTTGGAAACCTCTGTTGATGGGGAGCTTACTATCATCCAAAAAGGTGGTTGTCTGGAAAGAGATAGTCTGAAATTAGGTCTCGGGTTCTCTGAATGTTCTTTTGTATTGAGCCCACACAGGTTTCCCTGACACATCCGGCCCTTGGCCCTAATTGTCCCCCTTTCTTTCTGGTGCAGTATGTCAACCTCGTCCACATCGTAGCCCTACAAATGTTTTAGTAGTTTGTATGTGCCCCCTTAATGCTCTCTTCCCAAAGCCAAGTGTCTCTGACTCAAATCCCTTAAAGGGTGCCGTTGGGATTGCTGGTACTCCTGCCGCTGCTGCCCTTAGCTCAGCCTGGGATGCCGGTTCTTCCTGCGAGCCGGAGCCGCCGCGGGCCCCCTCTGCCGCTCAGCTGCGGCGTGCCGTCCCTGCGTCCTCCCGCTTGTTAACCTAGTGCGATCACATCGTGTACGTTTAATCTGCCGGAAAATTGCCAGGATTGGACTGTCCCTGCCGCATCCCTGAGAGGGCTTGAAAGTGGTTCTGGCAGTGACTCGCTCTCCTTGGCAGGCAGTAGCAAGCGCTGAGGCTCCAACTTCAGTTTAAAGGGCAGGTAGAAATGGCAAAGGACGTGTGTCATATGAAATGAAACTGAAACTCTTATTAACTCCGAGGCTTTCATGGCCAATGTGAATTAGGCTGAAGCATTGTTCCAAGCTGCACACAGCTTAACAACAACCCTTTCAAGCAGTGGTACCAACGATAATGAAAGCTACGTCAACTGCTGCCTTAAGTCAGTTCTGTGATTTCACTGCAAGGACACGGTTTTTCTCACCAAAAAAAGCGGGAACAGGAGACAAGAGAAGGAGCCATTTGTGCAAAATCAAATCCCTGTACTCTTCAGGGTTATTTTTTTCCAACCCAATGTGACCTGTTAGTTATTTGGGGCAATGGGAAGGCTATGTGAAGAAGAATCACATATAAATTCAGATACCGATTCACAGCATTCATTTGTTTCTAACATCATTGTGATACACACACACCGTAAACAAAACTATGCGTTTGTAAGCTGTTTTAACTGCAGACTGGTACAAAGTGCCAAGTAGACAGTCAAGCACCACCTTCCTGGCTGTAAGCACAGGTAGCCGGGGAGAAGGGCCACGTCCTGCTGTGCCGCTAGCAGTCACTGCGCACTTACCCTGGGGCCGCGCGGTGCCCCGGCTTCTCCTGCTGGGTCGCGCCCAGTCCTCCCAGCACCACGGCGCTAGCACGGCGGCTCCCCTTCTGGTCCCAGATCACAGGCAGGAAAGGAGTTCAGTGTTCTTGACAGTTGTTTTTGTCCCGCCTTGAGGAACCAACCCCTGAAGTCGAGTTCTTGTCAGTCCATTTTCCACTCCCTGAAAATAATGATAAAGAGCAGGAGAATGAAGAGAAGTCACAGACTTCTCACGGGATTTTTTTCGGTGTACCAGAAGATAAACAGAGCTGCACTTCAGGAGGGTTTTTTTTTTTTAATGCTGTATTTTCATTTGAGACAAAGAGTTGTGACTTTTATAAGGAATTCCTGAGTCTCTGGCCCTGGGACCTGCTCTGTGATGAAGAACCTGAGAATCCTAGGCACATGCGCGTACTCACGCACGCACAATCACACGCGTGCACTTTCACGTGCGCACGCTCTCACACAGGTGCACGCTCACAGGTGCATGCTCACACACGAGCATCTCACATGCTCTCACAGGCGCACACTCACATGCACTCTCACGTGCGCACGCTCTCTCACACGTGTACGTTCATCATAGTAACTAACATTAGTTGAGTCCTCACTTTGTGTCAGGCGCTGTGTGAGGTGCTTTATACATGTAGCCCTATTTTGTCACAACCACCACTCCTGTCAGATAAGAATTACTAACATCACAATTTTGCAGATGAGGAAAGTAGGATTCAGAGATACGAGCTGAGCTTTCCAAGAGGAGGCAGTGATCGCGTGTGCAACCAGGACACACGTTAAAGTCATCCAACCCCAACTCAAGTATGGTTTTTGGGAAACATGACCCCTGGTTAGGGTGGCCACAGCAGCCCCCTCAAATGAGGTTGACATTGTTCCTTTTAACCCCGCACAAAACCTGTCCCTAAGCCACAGACACATTCCTTTGCTACCACTGATAAAGAGAGGACCAGCCAAGGACTTAACTGTCATGCCTCATGTGCCAATTCAGCTTTAGATCTGGAACCTTCTCCTTTGATGTCTCAGTGCTTTTTGTTCAAAATGTGACCATAAATGCATGATACTTTTTTGACCAGATGCATGTAAAATGAGCTTGTTTCTTTCTGGCCATGCCTTGCGCACACCCTTTCTGGGACTCAGCAGCTGCCAGAGGAGTCCGTGACTCACTCAGTTCCTGACCTCCTGCAGAGAGCTGGGCAGGTGGCTGGCTTGGTGGCCTTTGGCAGAGGAGCGCGATACAGCAAGGGTCCTGCCTCTGCTTCTGAGGGGACCCCGGACAGGAGGGGAGGCCGCTTCCTTCACAGGGGGCTCCCCAGGGAAATGTTAAAGCAAGTTGGCAGGAGGCCTGGACTTCCTCCTTGGGCAGAAATCTTCATCTATGTTTTTGCTAGAAAAGAATGCATCCAGAATCTATCCGTATAGGGCGGAATACAGAGTCTTTTGCCTTCCAAAAACCGCAGGGCTCTTTCTTAGAACTCCAGCGTGCCCCGCTGAAGTCCCCCCTTCCCGCACCTGCCCCGCCCCGGGTCCAGCCAGGTAATCCGATGAGCTGAAATGCGGGCAGCTGCACTGGATTCGATTTCTCAGGAATCCCAGGAAGACTTGGGTTGTTGGCTTAGAAATAAAGCGTGCCAAATATGCTCGAAAAGGAACACAGAACAGTGCTTTTGAAACTCTCATGTGGCTATGAATCAGTCACCTGGGGGTGACATCAAAATGTAGGTGCCAATCCAGCCAGTCTGGACGGGGCTGAGAGCCCCCTGTTAGCACCTCCTGGGTGAGGCTGATGTGGGCACCGCACACCGAGGGCCTATCCGTGGCGTCGGGCAGAGCACGGGCTGGGGGCGGGGGGGTTCCTGCAGCGGCTCCCCACACCCCCGCCTTTGCTCCTAACCTTCCCCGGGAATGACTGTATCCATCTTGGTGCCTAGGTTTGTCCACCCCCGTTTCGGGCCCATCAAATGCGTCCGCACACTCCGAGCTGTGGAGGCCGACGAGGAGCTCACTGTGGCCTATGGCTATGACCACAGCCCCCCGGGGAAGAGCGGGCCTGAAGCCCCCGAGTGGTACCAGGTGGAGCTGAAGGCCTTCCAGGCCACCCAGCAGAAGTGAAGGGCCTGGCTCTGGGCTTCAGAGGCCTGGAACAGAATCTTGGATCTATGCACTACGTTTATCCAACTACGGGACAACCAGGGACTGCTCGTGCTGTGCTGTGACATCACATCCTCTCACTCTGCGTTCGCGACTTTCTCGCCTACTAACTAGGTTTGACTGTATTACTCATACCAGATTTAAAATTAGCTAGCCTTGCAGCGGCGTCCCACTGAGAGGCATTGTCGAGCACTTGACATAGCATGATGTTCTTGGGTGGTTCCAGTCTAAATCTGGACCACGTTCAGAGATGCCAAATGATCAGACTGAAAAAGGGAAAGAGGGGTTTCCAGTCATTTTCAGTCCGTGGTTTTTCCATGATGTTTTTTCCAATGGCCACCGCAAGGTGTGTTGCTAGCGCTCCGGCAGGTGGGCCGTCTGGAGGGTAGAGAATCACTACATTTTTATTCTCTAAATAATTTGTAGTATAATTTGCCTTTTAACCTTTGATCTGTATCTTGCAATAGAATGGCTTTGTTTTTTTCCCTAGTGAACAGAACCCCGCTTTTTGAGTCACTTCACCCCTCAGTCCTGTTCTCTAGCTTAGGCACCTTTTACAGGAGAAAACGTCCACATGGATTTTGTGTCAGTGCCAGTACGTAGGTCTCTCTGGCTCTTTCTCTATTGTTTTATTATTATGTCCTAATATAAAGCTCTGGTGCCTAGGGCTGGCATATTATTATAGAATTAGTATTCTCGCATGTAAACAGAGATATCTTTGCGTTAAGATGTGAAAAGGAAGAGTTTACTTTGTTTGCATTAAGTTATGGAAGAGTTGTAATATATATTTTCAGGAAGAAAAGAGGGAAATTAGTATTTCTAAGCAGTAACTGTGGCAATTTTGCAATATCTTCAGTAGTGCTAGTAGTTTTTTTCTTTGTGCATACACATTAAATGTACATAACATAGAGCAGTCTGGCTTGTGGCACAGTGCATTGAACTCAAAAGTCAACTCGCAAACTTGAATTCTAACGCAGAATTCACACGTTATGTTTTTTTTAATCGCTACTATTAAGAGAGACATACTGATCACTAGGTACAAATCAAACCTGAACGCTAAAACTCTTCATCAGTGTAATTTCAAAGTACTTATCTGCTTCAGAGCATTGTGAATTAAGAATAACACCTGTATAGTTTTAAAGCAACGCTATCAATAGCATTTCAGCCTTTTTGCGAGCCATGTGTAATCACAACTGCAGAAATAAGAAGGGAAAACCCTGTTTTTAGTTTAGCTAACTAGGTATCTAACATGCCTGGGATCGCTCTGAATGAATTCTGGGAGTTCGGGGTTTTTGAAAGCGCGCACCCCGCCACATGCCATAGCTATGTCTTCTCTAGATGCCTCAATGAGGTAGCCAGGAGGTCTGGCGAACAGCAGCAGTGACTCTGACCTGCAATTGTCAACAGTAGCGCCTGTCACCCGAGCCAGTTTGGTCCCGAAAGCCAAAGCCTTCCAAGCTGTGGCCAGCAGAGAGCTCTGGCGGAACAGAGGCGGCTTGCTGGGAGGGGAACAAGAGTCAGAAACAGGCAGGTGGAAGTTGGATAGTTCTTGTCAGTTTCACATTGCTCTTGGAAGTGCTTAACACAGGGCTGCTCACAACCTTCAGTTCGGGCCCTGGGCACGGGTTGCAGCCCTTGAGGCGGCGGCGGCAGGAGCAGCCCTTCCGTTTTTGGCAAGGCCCGGCTTGTGGGAGCTCCCTTCCCCAGCAGCCCCAGAGCAGCGGGGTGGCGTGGTGCCAGCGAGGCCAGCTGAGGCTCACAGGTGAGAGGTCGTCAGGGCCGCCCAGACAGAGGACCAGAGAGAGTTTTTAGATTAAAAGGCACCAGGATAGGATCGCTTCTATTCTGTAGAAAGAGACCGTTCTGTAAACTGTGACAGATAAGCCGTCTTGGGGCGTGTGTTCTGATAGGTGCTTTGATTCAAATGGGTCCCAGGGTGAGTGACTGTTTGCAAGGGAAAGATGGTGTTAATTAACCCCCTCAAGTTGGATAGTGGAGTCAGATCCAGGAGGGAGGTCAGGGACAGGACAACCAGGTCACACCTCTGATGCAGCCACACTTCGAAAGATTTCATTTCTGAGGCCCGTCTTGCTCTGGTTGAGACTACAGTGGGTGTAATTTCTGTCCTAATAGGTTACTCTAGTTACCCCATTCAAATGGAGTCTTTCTTCTCTTTCTTTTTTTTCTTCCTTCCTTCTTGCCTTTTTCTCTTTTCTTTTCTTTTCCTTTTTTTTTGATAAAAGTGATCGAAGAGGTGTAAGTGGTGATTAACCAACTAATCCATTGCATAGTGGATGATAACACTCTTTAACACCCAGCAGTGTGTTGACCTTCAGACAAATCAGAGGAAAGCCCTTCAGCGGGACCTCCTCTGTCTGTCTCCCTCCTCTCCTTGAGTGCCCCTGGCTCTTCCTTCTCCTGTGCTCTGCTCCCTCCTCCTCCTTCCTCCTGACAAGGCCTGGGGGTCTGGGTAACAGCATCCCCAGCTGACCTCTTCCGCTGTTCCTCTCTCCCCCTCACATTCTGAGCTTCTCCCTTGCTGGTGTCTCAGCTTTGAGGGCCCCCCGGACCCTCTCTTGTCTTTCCGGCTGCGGGACCCTCACTCCATCTACTCAGTGCCATGTCTGGCCGCCTCGTTCCTGCTCTCCCCTGCCACACACACTCACAAATGTAAGACTTTGTCAGGGGGTAGAATCGGACGGGACTTGAGATTCACTGTGATCCACAGGTAGGAAAAGAAGTTGAGGGGGTTGATGTTCCCTAAGGAGTAACTGATGAGTAACTAAGGGATTGTTTCTTGTTTGAGCCAAAGTTGACGGGAAATCCTCAGGATGTACTTTTCTGCTGACTCTTTGCATCTGTCATGGAAGCTAGTGGTTTTATCAGCATCATGACCACAAGAGAAATGTGGAAGATTCCATGTGGTGGGGAATCAAGAAATCACTTTTGCCTTCTCCAAAACCAGCTGGTGCCTGAGGGTGCACAGGACGCCACAGGCCTCAAGGGGATTCACTCAGAGCCGTCTCAGCCCAACTCCTGCATGACTAGAACTTTCCTTAGCAGCTTTTCTGTGATTAAATAGTATCTTGTGTTAGTTAGGAATAGGAACTAATCTGTAAGAGTACGTCCCCAAATGGACATTGGAATGGACTAACAAAAACAACTGTAGGAGCTGAATTTCTGATGCAAAGGAATGATGACATTAAAAAGCAACAGGTGAGGAAGACTTGAGTTTTGTAGGACCTATTCTAATTTGAACCTGCTTCATCCCTGGTCTACCTGAGAAACTAAGAAGGAAATTCATTTTTCAAGACCTCTTTGAACCTGCCCGGAGCCGTGGTTAAACTCACTGTCCCTCTGGAGGTTCTTCACACTTGAAAAAGTATTTCCTCATCACCAACAATCTGAAAAGGCCAAGGTGGAAGCCAAGTGTAACCATTTACCACATTTAATTGTAACTTAAAATTGCAGTAACTGTGAACAGTGAATTCAAGGGTTGTATTCTCAGTGAGGCAGTATGTGGCACTTTAGTAACTTTCCTTTAATATACAAAATTGTAAGTCACTCAACTGCAAAATGCATTTAAGATCTTCCAAGAAGGAATAGTTTTCTGTTTTGCCTTGTTTCAAAACAGTTGCCTCAAGTTTCTGTCTTAAGAGTAGTGATTTAGAATCCAGACATCTTTTGTTTTAGAAAAACAAGCAAAACTATGTTGCAAGAGTGATCGTTGTGATGTTTATTTGCCACAGATCAAAGGTTCACAAAATATATTAAATTTACATCTACTGGAGGTCCCCTGATAGATTTTTTTTTTTCTTTGATCTTTCCCTTCAGGAATTGGAGCCTCAGTGTCACTTTTTTATTTTAAAAATTCTAAATTGTAATGGTTTTATTTTGCCAAATGTGTGCATACATATTCAAAGCAATGAAACAATTTCAAGCCATACAACCACAGAGGTGGAAACCCTTTTCACAAATTTTAATGTGTTTGTATGTAAATAGATGTTTGTATGAACTATTTTCATGGTAGAATGAATATATTTAAATGAAGTTGAATTATTCCAGTGCTGTTTAAACAAATTACAAAATTTTTGGTGAAAATCTGAGTCTATTGAGATATAATGCAGATCAATTTTGATTTTTAAAAATCAAAAGCCTGCAAATAACTCTGACCCAAGGCAACTTCCCGGTGTTGTTGCATCTGGTGTGGAGAGAGCTTGTAGGCTTCCCCAGTGCCTCAGCCGCTTCCTGGTGTAAGTTAGGTGCTCGTGGAGGTGTGTCCACCTTTTAGTGACACCACTCGGGGCCTTTGAGGGCCTGCGAGTGGATTCAAGGCATTAGAGACACTGGTGCATTTATCCAGAGCACAATTTCTTTGCAGGGCAGCAGAATCAGAAGCCAGACGTGGCCGTGTGAACCTCTGAACTGGGTTTTCTGGCCGCCATCAACCGCCACCCTTACTGCCTAGTCACACCTGTCAGGGAGGCGGCCCTCAGTGGAGTTGGGGCCCAGGCCCCGGGGTGGGACTTCACCGTTTTGCCAGCAGTCCCCGCCGCCTGACCTCCACCTCGCAGAGGAAGGAGGAGGGCGCAGCTGGCAAAGGGCCCATTTCTCAGCACAGTACGTTTCCTGTCTCAGCTCTGGGAGACTATGCACGAAGGCACCGAACTTTCCGACCAGAGAGAGACGCCCTCGGATAACGTCAGTCCTCGCTTCCTCTGTCTGTGACTTCAATCCCAAGACCAATCACATCCCTAGGACATACCTCCCACCGTCCCTGACTCTTAGGTTACTGAAATTCTCCTTTATAATGATTTTCAACGTGAGTAGGGGTTTTCTTTTTCAGCTTTGGTCCTGGGTATAATGAAATGATCACTTTTATGACAAATTTCACTGTGTATACTAGCAATATGTACACACCTGCCAATGTATCTTAACATATTGACTTGGTTACATTTTGGGTTACTATAATTAATCTTGATTCATGTATTGGGAAATACAGGGACTATGTAATGCCTGCTTATCATAGTAGAAATTAAGTTCATGGTTCTGAGCTCCCTCCTTCAACAGCTTTTTCCTCCTGGGTTTTCTACATTCTCTTTTTATTGTGAAATGCATTTATGAGGTTGTGAGGTATGTTTACGGATTGGAAGCCAGGGGTATGCTTTCAGCATTTATTGCAACCAAAAGTTAACCCCAGCACAGTTAACGAGCATCTTTGACTGGTCTTCTGTGGAATTTGAACTAAATCTATGAGCCTTATTCAATATCTATAATTCTATGATTTTTTTAAATTATGGGAAATTAATGAAAGATGTTTACATGAATAATGTTTGCCCTTACTGTGTTATGAATGAGTTTTTTGTAGTGTGTCTGGGTGCATGTGCAAGAGAGTAGGAAAAATGTTTCTGAAACAAAACTTGACAAATATTTGTAATGAAAAGTAAATTTAAAGATTGCTATAATTGCGCTATAGAAACAATGCAAGTATTAAACGAAATATACAATCATCTGTCATTGTCTTCCTTTGGGCGTCAAGGGCAGAAGGGAATGATGTTTTCTTATGACCCACCCACCCTTATACTTAAATTACTAAGCAAACTTTACATTTTAAGTTGTTTAAAAATATTAATCATTTCCCATTTTCAGAGCATTGTAGTAAGACCTGAGGAAAGATCAGGAGTTTGCCGTGTAATCGGCATGACTCCACATCCACCCATCAATCGAGAAAAATTAGGCAGATGAGCCCAAAGTGTCTCTGAGGGATGGCATAAATGGCAAGGCAGTGAACTTAAACGAGATGGTCAGGGAAAATATCCAGCAGGTGGGACTGCAAAGTAAAAATTACTCTCCGGGAGCCATGTTCAGCGTAGGGCAGAGGTATCGAAAGTCACCAGAGAAAGAAAAAAAAATGGCTTTCAAACCAGTAGGACTTAATTTGACAACATTTCTTTAAAAACAATCAGGCTGCTTGGAATTTTCTCCGAAATGCAGTGCAGGAAGAGGGGAAGTGGATGGGGATATAGACAAAACCATGCGGACCGTGTGTGGATGAAGCCGGAGGTGGGGACACGGGGCGGGGGCGGGGGGGGCGCGGGGGGCGGGGGGCGGGGGGGCGCGGAGGGCGGGGGGGGGGCGCGGAGGGCGGGGCGGGAGGAACGGTTCGTTACCTTATACTGTTTTTGTGTTTCCAAATCTCCATACTAAAGAGTTAAAGAAAACAGAAAAAGTTATTGACTCCAAACATATTTAAACACAAGTGTCACAGAGGTTAAGTAAACATTACCTGTCCTAATTCTGTCCCAGTAACTGCCTGCCTTGAATTTCCTGGCTCATTGGCCGACGAACCGCTCCCGGGAAAGAGGCCTGTTACGCGGCATTCAGCGCTGCGCGCGCGCGGAGGACGCGCCCCTGCTCGCTGCCGCTCCGGAGGGCGCGTTCCGGGGGTGCCAGCGCAGCGCCACTCCACAGCCGCAGGCCTCGTTACCCGTGACCAGGCCAGGATCCTGGGCTTGCGCTCGTCTTACTACAAAGAATTATAAAAGCTTAGCCGTTTAAGAAAATATGTATTAAGATAAAACCTGTGCCACCTAACCAGGCACATGTAAATCCACACTGTCCCAATCCACGGCAAGCGAGTGAACGCTGAGGGGGCTGCGGCCGGCCGCTCCGCCGGGTAGACCGCAGAATCAGGATACCTGGTTCCGTCTGCGCTAGTCACGCGTCTATCTGGCGCCCAGTGTCAACACAGGCTGAATTTCTACTCCTACATCATCTTCGCGTACATTCACGGAAGCACGAAATTTTGATGTCCGTCTCTCACGGGCAGTGCATTGTCTTCCACCTCTCTTGGGGGGCATGCTCTTGCCGTTCTGCTTGGTGAAACAATACAGTATTTCCTAGTGTAACAGAAGATCCCCCTTTTTTTTTCCATCTTAATTTTTATAGGCTTTTTTCCATTCTTAAGTCTGGTCTTCAGCCATGATTGGTGAGGTATACGAAACACTGAAGACAGAGCTGGAAGAATGCTTCACTGTAGACACACCAGGACACGTGCGCCTGGGATCAGCCTTTCAGAGGGCCCAGAGCAGGAAAGGGGCCAACCCTCAGGGTCTGCACCCCTTCCCTACAGGGGAGTCCCCCTCAGGCTTGCCCAGGGCCAACCCCTGGGGGGTCCGCTTGCTGGGGTTCAAGGGAGTCCCTACCTCCTTGCTGGGGACTGTTTTCCCCAGGAGCCTCAAAGGGGATGGCTTGTCAGCTGGGTTAACTGGTTACACCTGGAACCCTGGGCCCTGCAACTAAGGCCCTGTCAGCTGGTCGACCCTGGCTCTTGGGCAACTGTCACAAAGCCAGCTGGGAAGTGTCAACAGCGAGACTGCCGTCCCTTTGAGGCTTGCCGAGGGCCAGCCCTTGGCCAGGCTGCATCCGCTACCTACATGCCGGGTCCCCCCCGCCGCCCGTGTCTTGCCTGGGGCCAACAATTGGGGGTCCGAAACTCCACGCAGGGGACCGTTTTCTCCGAGAGCCCTAGTGCCCTTCCTTGCCAGCTGGGTAAGTGGTTACACGTGGGGCCCTGGGCCCTGACACAACTTCCTGGCAAGCTGGGTAGCCCTGGCTCCTAGGCAACTATCAACGTGCCCACTGGAGACCCCTCCCTACAAAGGGGCGGTGTCCCATTCTCTCCGAGGCCAGGGGATGGGACTCCCCACCAGACTTTCATTAAATGTTTCTTAATTTTGTTTTCATATTTTGGGGTCTTTTTTTCAGGTCCCCAAACTTGACATGTCTTCAGCCTACTGGGTAGAAAGCTAGCTGTTCAGGGGAGGAGACAGGAGACAGTGGCTGAGCCAGGGGCCTCCCAAACAGAGATGGATTTCAAGCCCCAAACCTCTCTCCCCATAAGGTGGCTGTCATTGCCCGAGTTCCAAAACCTGGGCTGAAGTGGGGAGTCCCAAGGCTCAGAGGGGACGACAGGGAGAGAGGTAAAAGCTGCTACCAGGGCACAAGTTTCCTGCCCGTGCAACCAGAGGCAGTGGGCCGTCTTGGAGGCTTTAGGCCTTGGCTTTAGGGCTGTAGTAACGAGATGCCGTCTAAGTGAGCCTCAGCGCCAAACTCCAACTTGAGTCACGCAATTTTGAAGTTTGGTAGCTTTTGGTTTTGTTTTGTTCCTGCTGTGGAGGATATCTGAAATCATGCGTATGTAACTTGAATTCAATTCATAAAACGAAAAAAGATTTCTGGCTGTAGGAAATTCAGGGATGATGCCTCCCATTAAGACAAAAAGGTAATAGGAAGTGAAGAAGGCTGTATTAGAAATGACTTTGTCAGTTGAAGAAAGGAATCCTATTTATGCTTCCATGAGGATATCATTAGTATACGTCAACCCAACAACTGTCTTAAGACGTAAGAGGACGATATTATATTGATCCCATTTTGCAGATGGGTAAACTGAGACTGGGAGCGAGGTAACACGGATTTTACAGGTCTTGCCAAGATTTAGTTGGTAGAACTGGATGGACCTTGCCTGCCGTCATGATTCAAGAAAAAAAGATGACCTCAGCGTCTTAAGTTCATTACCTCTTTAAAGAATTGCTGCTTTGTTTTTTTAAGCTTTGCCAAGGAGTTAAAAGCAGGGTGACTTCATTTTTACTTTCATGAAACAAAACTCCCAGAAGACACATGTTCTCAGCACAGTCTGAATGCACTAGTGCCATTCCATCGTGCTGGGCATGAATTGCTCGTTTTCACGAAGCATGACTCAGCAGCCATCACGTCAGAATGTTTTTCCTCTTCAAACCTCTTGGAGCCAAATTGTTGAAGAATCGAGAGGAATCACTTAAGGATATGAGTGATTGTCAAATGGCGGACACTTTGGGGAAAAGGGAGGACTTTTCTTTCACTTTAATAAATGGAGACAAATGACATCGAATACTAGATGCTGTGATGCTGTGAAGACTACTGCATGCAATCCAGGCTCCTGGAAGAATGGATGGAAGTAGTCCCCGCCTCCCACAGTAATATTCTAGTGAGGAATGGAATGAAAACTGGTGGGATTTAATATGCTTCACTATTCTGAAAATCGTGATTTAACACTTCATGATCTGTTTCTAAATCATGTATGTTGATGCTTGCATTTAATGACTGTCAAAGTTAAGGGGGGGGAAAGGACTTCACAAAGATCCTTGGGTCCAAACAGAACATCGTCAACCAGGCTTATTAAACCTGAAAACCGAGTTTTCAGTCCCACCCACCAGTTACACAGAAGGTTTTATTGGAATTCATTTGCTGGATTTCCATGTCCCCAATTTGTTTTTACAAACTAACTGGATGTTGTATTTACATTTTAACAAATGGATCCAAACTCTAGTATAAGTCTTAGTTTCAGAAATTTTTAAACAGAATAGAAAATTTAACTTTTGAAATGCTCAGAGAGAAGCACTTTTATAGTTGACACAGATTTCAGAAACAAAGCCCATTAAGATGGAAACATGTCCAAACATCTACCAGGAAGAAATTGTTTTTCTAAAACTAACTCTTAAAGTGACATATTCCTTAGTATGAAATATATTCCAGACACCCGTCATTACCGAAATGGTGAACAAAGTGTTTTGTGAAAGAAAAATGCATAGCACACCTTTCAGTTGGGTAAGTCTTTCTCTGCCACAAGGTAACCAGGGAGCCATCCAAGTGGCACCAATCAAAACACAACTTCTTTATGGCAAAGCTGGTTTATTGAACTTCATGAGGGCAATGTTACAGTGATGTTATTCCACAACAAAATTATTTAGTTGAGATTTCATGAGGAAACAGCAGTATACTGTCAATAAAGCATTGTCATTAATAGCTAACTGCATTAGATTCTGGCTTAGCTTCCTCTGGTGTTCTCAAATGAAGACTTCTCCCAAAACATATCTGATGTTTTCAGTTGAATGTCACAGCTAAAATAAATTCACACAGGAGTTACTAAATGTGTGATTTGTGCTTTAAAAATTAAAGGTTGTTTGATAGCCACCATTTTGGAGGTGATTTCTCAATAGTCAACCTAAGTATTTTATAAATATTTTAGAAAATATCTAAAAGCTTTATCCCCCATTCAACTAATAAGTATGTTCTTTTTAAAAATAATACATAGAAAAAATTAAAACAATAAATCATTACAAATGAGATGCAAATATTTTTAAATTAATAAATATTAAAGTGAAAAAAAAAGTCCTTTCACAGAACTGTAAAGAATAGTTACTACTAGGTTCTTACAAAAAGAAATTCCTCTTTTAAAAATTCATTAATAACAGCACTGAAAAACAGAAATGTGCTTGGAAAGCCTGTAAACTTTCTTCCCTCATTCTAGAAAATGTTTTTGAAAGCAATAAACAGATTCCCTTCTTTAAAAAACTATTATGCCCAACACAATTATTACAGTTTTCACTTTTACTATAAAAATAGTTACAAATCAATATTAATTTAGTCAAATAATTTTTAATTCTATCATAAGAAAAATGAATTAATCTCTCTGAACACAAATAAAGCCAATTTGTTTTTCCTTAAGCTCTAATACTTAAAACTGAACAAATATTTTCTATAATTATTTTGTTAGTTCATGTAATAGAATTATCTCATTTTTATAATTAAATTATCCAGTTAAGACCACCATGATGATACAACAAAAATCCTAAACTAAATTAGATACATATTTGTTTCCCACATTCTGGAAATATTATAAGTACAATCAACTTTTGGCTTAATCTCCTCTAAAATGATCAAGGACAGCAACCTATCAGAATTAATCAATGTGCACACTTCAGTTAAAGTTCATGGCTTACGTTCCATTCATGTAACAGTTTCATATGCAATCTTACTATTTTCTATGTGCAAAGTCTTAAATTCAAAGTAAAAATGTCTAGGGGTAAAAAATCTGAAATAGTCCTTCCACCACTGAGGGACAGACAAGATCTTTTTAATATCTAACTTGTTTTTCACACTGAGGAGGAATAGCATATTGTGGCCATAACATTTAAAGATTTTAAAAATTGATGTCACACAATACTATTACAGAAATAAATGTACACTCACAGCAATTAGAAGTGTATCTTCAGAGCTGCAATCCCAGTGGAACATGATCTGCTGGTTTGGCCTTAGTCATTAAGTTGACTGGGGGTGGGGGAGAGTAAGAGATACTATGCCAGATATGCATCTTAAAATGACTAAAGCCAAGAAAGAGTCTCCTGTGAAGGCCAGGAACCATGTTTACCTGTTTCCCCCGACTTACAATTCCTCCTAGGCTTCCCATTCATTTTTCACTTGTTTAAAGATACCGTAATAAAATATAAAGCACTGTATTATGTCACTTCATTTGCACTAAAATTTGACTTATTTTTGCATATTTTAATAGAATTTAGTAAGGAAACAATTCAAATCACTCTTAAAAATAACAGTAATTTCTGTAGGACTCATTGATATTAGAAATATCAAGCGTCCAGAGAACTGTTGGGAAAGTCATTCTTTATGGGCTGAGACTCAGAAAAACCATTCTATGCTTTCTCCTCCCACTAGAACTAAAGCCTTGGCTCTAAAATGTACCAGTAACAATGCAATGAAATCTATTAATACAAAGAAAGAACTATAGGGAGAGGCCAATACAAGTTTTTATCCTATTGAGAAACCTCCCTTTCAAAGGACATACCATTAGGTGTGTACTCAACCTTAGTGGTTTTTTAGTCACAGAACACAGGACTGGACAGTCATGGACTCTCAAAACTCCATCACGCTCTCTCGTGAAGCTTCCTTCCCTGCCTCTAATGGGAAGATGTTCTGATCGTCCTACCTGTGCTTCATTTTCAACCTCACCTGACAACCAAATTTTTTCTTGTGTTGCCACAGCGACAAACTTGATTATATAGAGACAGAAGTGAGCATGAAGACCATAAACAGTGAAGCGTCAGGATGACCCATCACATGAGATTAAATCTTAACGACAATCACTGTCATACTTCAAATGTATTTCCTCTAATCAGAATTGAACGGTGTAATGAAAACTGTCATTTAGCACCAGCACGTGACTGCAGGCTTTGGTTCAGGCTTCAGGGTAACTCCGTTATCGGGAGGTTGAGTAAGCATTAATGGTTTGTGGCTCTTCAGCTTATGAGCCAGGGTCATAAATATGGCTTCCACGTGGTCATTATCATTGGGGTTTTTAGCAGAGGTTTCAAACAAAGGCATACTGTGTGTGTCAGCAAATTTTTGTGCCAAGTCTGTAGGTACCTGGATGGCACTTCTTAAGTCACATTTATTTCCAACCAGAATCCGGGGTATGTCATTGGCTAGCAAGTGTTGTTTGCATTCTTCTATCCAAGATGGCAAACTATGAAAACTAGCCATGTTGGTCATGTCATACACGAAGACCACAGCGTGTACATTTCTGTAGTAGTGCTGTACCATGCTCTTTCTGAACCGCTCTTGTCCTGCTGTGTCCCAGAGCTGGATCTGATAATGAATAAACCAGAGAAAAAGAGGAATAATAATGTGAAGACACCAGACCAGAAAAGGCGACTCTTCTAAACAACATTACCAACTATGAACCTGGTGGTTCGTACATGTCCTCATCTAATCCTCACACCAGCCTGATATGACATATTATCCCAAAGCTGAAAGATGAAGGAACTTGCCTAAGGGCCAGAGTAACCAACTACCCCAGTTCACCTGAGCCTGAGGGGGTTTCAGGAATTTGGAGCTTCCAGTTTTAAAACTGCCAGTCTCAAAGTTGGCCACCCTACTTAGGACACACAGTCCACCCTTACCCTTTCATAGGCTGAGATTTGGACCAGGTCAGTTGGGCTCCAAAGCTCAAGTACTTTTCTCCCAGAACTCCTGCTTCTTCCAAACTGAACTGCCTCTCAAACTTCAGAAGCCCTACTATTTAATTTGCCCACAGGTTCCTGGGCCTAACCTAATTCTGATGAAAAATATTCAGCCCCCCTCTTAGTCTGTCTTTTCCTCTGTGATGGATATAAATTGTTTTTCTTTTTTTGAATCCTCATGGAGGACATGTGATTTTAGAAAGAGGAAGGACCGGGTGGGGGGAGGGAGGGGGAGGGAGAGAGAAACATCAATGTGAGAGAGAAACATCAATCAGTTGCCTCCCATGCCAACCCCCATTGGAAATTGAACCCACAACGTAGGCAAGTGCTCCAATCGGGAATCAAACCCTCAACCTTTTGGTGTATAGGATTACACTTCAACCAACTGAACCACCCAGCCACGGCACAAATCATTCTTAATTACCTAATACAGTGCACCCAAAGGAGGAGGCTTGGATGGGACAACGACAAATTAGAGTGAAAATTAAACAACAAAAGAACCTAGAGAAGGCTGATTTGTTTTCAACTCTATTTCTCCTTTGCCATCATTAGCATCTTAACCCCTTTGGGGATGAGGAGTAGGACAGTGGTTCGGGAACTAAAAACTATACGATTCTTGCTTCAGGGATGTGAGGGTAAGACTCAAGCAGTGTGTCTACTCTCCCCACGGGACTGAGGTAAAGATGAACATTCTAATCTAAAGTAAAAAGTAAACATAGGAGAAGGCAAGGGAGTCCCCAGGGTCTGCAGTTGGATGGACGGTGGTGGTTTCGGAGGAGCTGGTGGCGGCTTAGAATGAAGTGGGCCTAAGGCTCAGCCCACCAGGACGCCTTGGCCGCGTCACAGTCCTCACTCTCCAACGCCCCTCCTCCCTTTCCAACTCCTCAGAACCCGGCGTGGCCTTGGGTTTACTGCCTTCACCACTACGTGTGTGTTCACAGCCTCAAGAGCCACCAATAAGAATTAAAGAAGTAGGAGAGGGAGAATGTTCTCCTTGCACCCAAACAGGAACTGTCGTGTACAGGATGTTTCTGCAGGAAAACAGATGTTCCTAAACAACTCAATGCCATACAGAAACCACTGTAGCAAAAGCAAGGTCTTTCCTCAAAGGCAACAGGGCTTTACTGCCACAGTATCGCGGGCAGTGCTCAGATGACTGCTTAATAAATAACATTTATTAAATTAATTTCCCAACCTGGAGAAATTCCTTTGGTCTGTCTTCAGCGACTCCCAGCACGAGACACTGACAATGAGTCAGTGGATGCCTCCTTCACTCTTGCTACTCAAAGTGTGGTCCGCGGTTACCAAAACACAAGGTCCCCAGGTAATTAGCATGACATTAAAGTTGGAGAAGGGCTGCCTTAGAAGTTTGCTATCTACAAATCCTTCCAATCTCCAACTCTCATTTCCACATCAGCGTGAGAAAAGAGGGAGCGGACAGCCTGCACGGGACCGACACTCTGCACGGGGCCAGCGTTTAACCCGCGGTGGGGTTGGGGCACGTGCCATCCCAGGACGGCCTTCCTCCCTGACAGTCCCCCATCCGCTCACCTTGATGCGCTCCCCATCAATCTCCACTGCTCGTTCTCGGAAATCGACCCCGATAGTAGCCTCGGTGCGGTCGGGGAAGCGACCGGCGCAAAAGCGGTAGGTCAGGCACGTTTTGCCGACATTGGAGTCGCCGATCACGATTATCTTGAAGATGCGGGAGCGGGCAGGCGGCAGAAACACTGAAGACCCCGACAGCGCTCCGCTGGACATGAAGCTCGCCTCCAGCGACGACTCCATTTCCGAAGCCATTCTCCGGACCCGCCCCAAACTGAGGCGGCGGAAAGGAGACGCAGACCAGCTGGGAAATTACGCCACCGCGAGCGCGCGTCCCCGCCGCGCAGGTGAGGCGCCGGCTCGCCCAGCCTCGCGGGTACCCCCGCCGGGGCCCGGATGCAGCCCGGCGTCGCTCAGGCCGGCGCCCGTTTACCTGGGAGGGCCGGGGACCTGTCGGGGGCTCGGCCGCGGCGCGGAAGGCAAGCCTCCCGGAGGCCAAGCGGAGCGCCCCAGGCCCGGCCCCCGCCACGTCCAAGGCCTCCGCCCTCCGCAGGAAGCCGCGCAACCAGGCTGGGGGCGGGGAGAGACGGGCCGCTGAGAGGAGGAGGTGCCACCTCGTTCTCTCGCGAGAGGGCCGAAGAGCCGCCTGTGCCCGGGCGTGCGCCCGGGGAGGGGCTGAACGGTGGTCTGGAGGCTCGGGCGTCCAGGTGGGCGCCGTCGGGCACCTATCGTTGGGGTTTCCCCGCGCGTGCAGGTGGAGGAGGGTTCCCTCGGCCCGCAGCTGGGGGCTAGAGCGTCGGCTGCGCCCCCTGCCTTCTCCGGGCTTTCTGAACCGGGGGAGTTGGGACAGCGACCAGTAGCGCGCGGGACGCTGGGTGCCGCCGGAAGCCGGCCCGGTGCGGGAGGCCCCTGCGGTGGAGCCGCGGGTCACGAGCAACAGTGCGGTCTTCGGGCTTAGCTGGCGCGTGGTGGTGGGGAGCAGGCGGGAATTCGGGCCCGCTCACCGCGTCGGCATGAAGGATTTAGTTAGGTACCCGTTGGGGAAGTACCCGCGGGACCCCGGTACCCAGTGCTCCTTTGGCTAATGCCCCCGGCCCAAGGAGAACAGATCACTTATGGGCCACTTGGGGGCATTGAATCCTGGAGTCGTTACTAGACAGCCTCTCTGATGAGAATAAAACCCATTATGCTCTAGTTCTGTCTTACGCCTGGGTGGGGATGATGTAGCCCTTAAGTATTACTGAGCACATGCAGAAGTTGTCTTTGACAAAATACTGTACCTAATAGACAAGACCACCGAGCCTTAAAGAATCATCTCTGAATTACCGTGAAGTCTTTATGGGAACCTACCATACATTGTCATACAAAAGGTCCAAAGTACACAAACAGAACTGTTTGTGAGAAGTTTTGCAATGATGAGACTTTTTTTTTTTTTCCCCTGTTTCAGCAAACAGGCCGTTTTGAAAGTCAAGGGCTGTGGAAAAGAGGACATGGCAGGCTTTAAATGGAGGGGAGTAATCGAGCACTCAGAGTTCGAGGAAAGGAGATAAATTACTTATTCCATTTGATAAAATGAAAATTTAGCCCGAGGAAATTAGTGGTAGAACCTGAGCATGCCCAGTCTTAACAGGAATTTGCAAAGCATATACAGTAATTTCTGTTGCAGCAGAAAAACTTTATACAGTTACTAATACATCAGCTTATATTAGGGGAAAAAAAAGTTTATTCACCTGGTTGAATGTGTATGCCCATTACATTTATTCAGTCTCCTATTACAGGAGCTGGGACATGGACTGGAAAATTCTAATTGTCTATGAGGTTATTTTCATGAAGATGAATCGTCCCAGAAACTATTCAAGAACCTTGGAATATATTCCTCTAATTTATCTAAATCCCCTTCAAAGGAGAGAATCTGAAGATTTAGGACAAAAGGCAGTTGAATGAAAAGATGTGAATAATCATGCAATTTCAGAGGAGGGTGAAAAAAGCATCAACATCTTTGCACCCCAAGAGCCTTGCTTTTCGTTTTTGTATTGTTTAGTTCTTGCTAAACTACATCAAAAACTCTTTATCTTTCCTGTTTATTCAAATCCTATTCATATTTCACATCCTAACTCAAAAGTCTCATTTCTGTGAAGGTTTATTTGATTAGTTCAGCTCAGAATGCACTTTGCTCTATTCTAAGGATAATATGCTTCCGGGGGTATTGCTCATGTGGTATTTGAATGTTGTCTTCATTGTTTAAGTTTCACAGTGATGTGTTGTATCTTATCAACTTGATCATCAACTCTTGACTATGGACTGAAAGCTCATTGTTATTCAGGAAATGACAAATAAATTAGTGTGACAAGGAATTTCTTGTGTAAGGATTGTCAGTTTGAACCCTTTACCGGTTATCGTTTGGCACCACTTATGGAAATACCACTGTAGACATTGGACATGGTTATGAGTTTTGTATTTTCAGCTTGCAGTTGGAGAGACTCATCATGTGATTACAGTATATGTTACTCTTCTTAGTTAAATAACTCCAGAACCTCCAGGTTTGATAGTTGAAGGAGATCCTACTATCGGAAAAAGTGGACTTTTTAAAAGCGGGCAAAATATAAAAAGTCCTTTCTCAGAAAGAAGGAACTCCTCCCTACCTTTTGCGACAGCATGGATGGAACTGGAGATGCTAAGTGAAATAAGCCAGTCGGTGAGAGACAAATACCAAGCACCACATGATCTCACTTATAAGAGGAATCTAATGAGCACAATAAACCAACAAGCAAACTAGAACCAGAGACATGAAAACATGGAACAGACTGACAGTGGGCAGAGGGGAGAAGGGAAGGGGACAATGGTGGAAGGAAGGGGAAGGGACTCGTCAAAAAACGTGTGGGTGACCCACGGACATGGACAATGGTATAGGATTGACTGGGAGTGGGCGGGTGGGTTGGGCGCAGGAGGGCAAAGGGGAAAAAGTGGGACAACTGTAACAGAAGAACAATAAAAAAAAAATTGGAAACATCTGCATAAAAAAAGAAAAGGTGGAAGAGGGGAGCTCAATTAAGAGACTAAAGAAACATGATAACCCAATGCAATGGGGACTTGAACTCAGTACTTAGAATGTTAATAAACCACCATACAGGACATGTGGGGGTTTAATTTGGAAAATCTGAATATGACTATAAGATGATTCTACTGATTCTATTAACTTTTTAGATTTCATAATTGTACTGTGGTTCTTTAGGACGATACCTTTATTCTTGGGAGATGTGCTAAAATATATTAAGTGAAATGTTAAAAAAATAAGTCTTTTAAATTTCGCAGTTGAGTGTTTAAAACAAAAATAATAGCAATACACTGTGGGGACTGTAACACATGGAAAGAAAATGTATGCCCATAATGTCACAAAGGATGGGAGGGAAAACTGATTATATCTTACATTGTAGGTGTTGTAGTGTGATATTATCTGAAGCTAGACTGATGAATTAAATACGCATATTATAAAATGCAGAAGAACTAAAATAATAAAACAAGCATAGCTAAGCATCCAACAGAAGAATTAAAATGGAATACTACAAATTAGTCCAAAAGGAGCCAAGAGAAAAATAAAAATGTAGATTGGCCAAATAGAAAACGAATATTAACCATAGCAAAATTAATTATAAATGATCTAAACCCTACAATTAAAAGGAAGACATACTTCTGTAAATGAAAAGGCCCAATTATGTACTCTTCCCCCCACCAAAAAAAAGCATCACTAACATAAAGACAGGTAAGTTCAAAGTAAATTGGAAAAATAATATGTAAACAGAATAAAGCTGGAATGCCAATATTAGTGTTAGACAAAGCAGACTTTGGGAAAAGAAATTTGGCCTGTCTTCAAGAGATAAAGAGGGACATTTCATAGTAAAAGGGTCAATTAATCAATATATAGTAATAAAGCTTCAAGTCACATGAAAATAAGACAGAAAAGAGACAAATCCACAGTCACAGCTGGGATTTCAACAGTCCTGTCAGTGTTGGATCAAGTACACAGACTTTAAAAATCAGTAATATTGTATGTCCACTATAATCATTATGCTTAGTGAAAGAAATCAGCTTTTTAAAAAGGCAAATGCTGTATGATCTCATTTATATAAAACTAAAAAACACAGCCTAGTCTCTAGATACAGAAAGCTGAGGTTGGTTGGGATGGGTAGGAAGAGCCTGAGGAAAATGCCTGCGGTGATGGGTGTGTTCATTTCTTTATGGTGATGATTCCATGGGTGTGCACGTGTGTCGTACATTTTAAATGTGAGCAGCGAGCATGCGAATTATTATTCAATGAAACTTTTTAAGAAATGCACTTCCATTTGAGGACTGTCAACTTCTTTCATACTATTTTATGTCAAATCTGAGTGTAACATTAAAGTTTTAATAAGATCAGTGTGTATTTTAATTTCTGGGCCAGATAATCGTGATGATAAAGACAGATACTTATATGATTAGTTATAAACTGATAGTTAAATGATTAGATACCTTGCATAAGGGAAAATGGTCCACAACAGCTTGAAATTGCTCAATTTTATTAATGAATAAATACTAGGGAACATTTAAATCCAGAGTTTAAGCAGATACTGGAATAGTCCTGTTACTACTTCATGCAGTAATGTAAAAACAGTTCATTCATTGGAGAAAATTTCATGTTAGTCAATTTTTTCATTTAGATGTAAACTGCAGAGAGAATATTGCCATCTAGTTGTAGAATACTGAGTCTATTGTTGAAACATTCTTGACAGTGTTCATTTCCTCTTTTATGTAGCTATTCAGGCACCGCACAAAGGGCCCCAACCAATTACATTCCCTCCTGAAGGGTGTGAACATGACAGCCATAGTGTGGCTTGATGCTGCCCTGGGTAACTCTTGAGCATCAACCCAGGCCGGTGACTGCATATCCTATCTATGACTACCTCATGCTCAAGGCTCTCCGTACACACACTGCAAGCAAAACAAAAAACCACCAACCTGACGGCAGCCCTAAGGAGGCCAGTAAGACTGGTCAGGGGAATGTACAACTGGGCGCTTTGGTGCAACATGGTGGGTGCTATGCGGCAGACGTGCAGCACCAGGAGCACTGAGGGTTAGGGACCGTAGTGGGAAGCAGCTCACCCCAAACAACAGCATTAAGAGAACCGATGAAATAACTAGGTTGCAAAGGTAAAGGAAGATGAGATTCTGCAGTGCCTTGTCAACTCTTTTATTCCAGAAGCAATGGGAAGCTTTTGGAGGATTTTAAGCCAAGGAATTAGTTTTTATTTTAAATAATATCCTGATTGCAGTATGTAGAATAGACTAAAAGGAGATCAGCTTAGAGGCAGGGAGACCAAGTAGAGGTTGTTGGAGTAATCTAGGAAAGAGATGATGAAAAAATGAGATGAAACTAGTATTGTACACATGGAAATGGAGAGAAGTGGGTGGATTTGAAAGATGTCTTGCAGATGGAATAAATAATGAGACTTGCTAAAAGCTAACTGTGGAGGATTAGGAAGAGGGGAACACCAAAGATGGCTGCCGTGTGCC